TCAGGTCCACCCTGGGGAACAATCACAGTAGCACACTTAATGTCAGGGAGCGAGTCTTGATTTGGTAAAGAGATGGCAAAACTGGGTGCAGAGTATGAGCCCAATTTTGCTCAAAAAGAGATGCGTGTGGGCGTGGACGTGTGCTTCGTGAGGACGGCGGGCAGACACCGTGTCTCCGCCCCGTCGTGCTGTTACTCAGGAGGGCATTTGACTCGTTGGCTATTATGCGTTTTCCACATTTCCACGGTGAACATGTATTTCCTTCAGCGTCACAAAATGATTCCTATTAAATGTGATTTTTAAATGTGCTCCCTGTCCCTGTCTATCTGCAGGCCTCCTTTCCCCTCCCACGGCCAGGTCCCTTTACAGCCACTGTCCCCGCAGGCTCACACGCTGACACCCCAGGCTGCCCTGCCCTGCCTGGCCGTGTGGCCAGCCCTGCCAGGCTGCTCGCCCCCCCGGAGCTCCCAGGGGGTCCTAGCACTGGGCCCCTCCTGAGCAGAGAAGCTTTGCTGGGTGTGATGGCCACTCCTCTAAGGCCCCGCTTACCCCCAGGAACCCCCGTCTCTGGCTCTGATGGGGGTCAGGCCCACCCAAGTCCCCTGAGCCAGGAACTGGGGACCATGGCAGGGCCCCCTTGCCCCACTCCAGCTGGTTCCACCCTCAGAGCCCTGCTGCCCCGGTCAGGCTGGGCCCTTTCCACCTGGCCTGCCGTAGCAGCTTCCCCCTGGGGTCCTGTGGCACCGTGAGCCTCGACCCATCTCCCCTGCATGTTGCTGTCCATAGGCCTGGACCTGCGGCCAGCACCCTGCAGCTGCCTTCCTGTGCAGCCTCCAGCCTCTTGCCTCCTCGTGCAGTCCTGCCAGCAGCTCAGAGCCTCCCTGCCTCCTACTTCCTACTGCGGGCCTCTGCCTTGAGGGCTGCTCTCCCCATGCTCTTCCGTCTTCCTGACTCACTTTCAGTCCTCAGGTGTCATGTGGGAAGGGGACAACAAGGGCGCAGGGGCCGTGTCCTAATAGGCAGGTGACTCCAGTAGCAAGAGCCAGCCTGCCTCCAGTCCCCAGGTCAGTGAGACCTGGGGTCAGATTTCATGAGGAGAACCACCTGGTCACTAAGCTGCATCTCTACAGTGGACAGGCCAGCATTTGCCTAATAAATCATCCGGAAGGGGGTCCCCTGGCTTGTAGCTGCCACTGGAGAGTCAGTCAGGATGGGCTGGTTATACTGCATTAACAAAAAGCCCCAGAGGTCTCCTTACAAGACATGGCTTACTGACTTGGCTGTGTTTCAAGTTGTCCTCACTCCCAGACCTGCCTGAGCCTACCCACCATCTGATGACCGCTGATTGACACGCAGGGTGAAAGGCAGTGGTCTCGAAGGTTTCCGCCGGGGGGAGGTTTCCTATTCCCTCTGTTCCCCATTTATTGACCAGATGAGTCAAGTGGATGGGGACGGGGAAACGCCATTCTATCCTTGCACAAGGTGACCTCAACAACCTCAAGTACAACAACAAAACAACAAACCCAGGAAACACAGGCTGCAGCGGCCACTGGCACTGCAGGGCTTCCACAGCCTGGGTGTTGCTACATGTTCTGACCGCGAGGGCCCAGCAGCTTGGGGTAAGGCGGGGACTTCGGGCTCCTCACCTGCCCTCTGCTATCCTGCCACCGCCCTTCTCACAGTCTCTCCGATATCCGGCTCATGGCTCCCGTTGTACTGCAGAGTGACCTTGTGGGTGGCCCCAAGAATAGCTATGAGAGGCACATGCAAGAAAAGGCAGGAGAAAGAGAATCCCACTCCTCCAGTGCCTGCAGGGGCCCGCCCAGCTTGCGCTCTCCAAACCCTCCACCTTGCACCTTAGAATTCACTTTCATCCCACTTGAAAGATGAGAAACGGGCAGAATGAACTTCAAATGCGTGTCCAGCTCGTGTGGCTTGTGCGTAAGATGCGTCCCGTCTCCCAGATTGTCTTCACTCCCAACATGGGCTTTTGAGTGGACTGGGATCAGCAGGACACCAAAGCCTCCCTCTGATGGCAGGAGCAGGTCTCCCGTGCCCTGGAACCTGGCCCACTGGCACTGAGCCCACAGCACTGGGTGGCCTCCAGAGCTTGGGCTTATGAACCTGGTTATGAACCGACCTGGAGCCCTGGGGATGTGGCCTAGCGGAGGAGGGCTTGCCAGGCACGCCTGAGGTGTTGGGTTCAATCCCCAGCAGAAAGGAGAGAGGGAGAGGCAGAAAAGAGGGCGGGAGGGAGGAAGAGGGAAGGGAGGCAGCCCTGCGGGGAGAGGTGCGCCAGGGGCCCAGAGAGCGCGGGTGGAGATCTGGTGTTCACACAGATGCCTGGGGGGTGCAGCCTGTCATGTGTACTGCTCCCCACTCTACTCCTATAAAAATCGCTTGAAGAGGGTAATCCAGGGAGGGGGGTCATCTGTGCCATCATCTACTTTAGCCCTCTGCCCAGTCCCTGCAGCATGTGGGCATCACTCAAAGGTGGTTAACAGCTTGGGGGCTGTTTTAGGGTCAGATGGGTCATATCAGACTTGCAAGCTGTGGGGCTGAAGGCAAGTTACGTGCTGTCCTGAGCTTCAGTTGCATCCTTTCCTAAAACTGCCCACCTTACTGTGATGGTTAAGTGACGCCATTCTTGCTGAGCCTGGTGGTTACAGGGATGGCTCATTTTCCCCTCAAAGCAATCCTAGGAAGTAAATGTTGTGACCAGCCTCATTGTACAAAAGAGGAGATTCACCCAGAGAGGTACAGATCTTGCCCAAGGACACACAGCTTGGCAATGGTAGAATTATAACCTGATGGCAGTGGGACTGTCCATGAAGCCTGCTCTCAGAACTGCTAAACAGGAGCTGTGTGGTGTCCATTGAGACCCTGGCACGTGGAGATCCAACATAAGTTTTTCTTCTTTTTTTTTCTTGGTACCGGGAATTGAACTCAGGGGCATTTAACCACTGAGCCACATCCCCAGCCCTATTTTTTATTTTATTTAGAGACAGGGTCTCACTGAGTTGCCTAGCACCTCTCCTTTGCTGAGGCTGGCTCTGAACTCCTGATCCTCCTGTCTCAGCCTCCCAAGCCACTGGGATTACAAGCCAATATAGGTTTAAAAGCCTGCAAATGCCCAGGATCTATGATTTTCTAAATCTAAATTTAAATCAGTTTAGAATTAATCTGAAATCTAAACAGGTTTTTTAGATATTTTGTAGAACTGGCAGAGGCCTTAGCAATCTCACTGCCTTTGGCAACTACTGGTGGACAGAGAGGGAACCGATTTTTTTTTTTTTTTTTAAATGAGAGGTTTTCCAACCTAGAGGGCCAAAGAACAAACTGGCCCACTTCTTCAAAATCCACACATCCAGTTTCTACTTTCTGGAGATTCTGTGTCAGTAAGTCCTGAGGTCCAGAAATGTCATGTTTCTTTTCTTTTGTTCCTTTCTTCCTTCCTTCCTTCCACCCCCAGCCCTGGTCTGCCATGGTCTCCAGGACACAATGAGAGAAACCTTGCTGGGGACACTGGTGATGGAGGAGGGCTGGGGCAGGGTGTGACTCTGGGGCAGTGTGCGTGGGTGTGGACCAGGCTTGGAAGGCGGTGGGCACTCCTGGCTGTATGGCTAAGGGGCATCTGGGGCAGAAGGAACAGTGTGAGCAAAAGCACGGGCTTGGACAGGGGTGCAGAGGGATGTGCCCCCTCCACTTCCCTCCAATATAATGAGGATGGTGCAGATTGTTTACTGAGCCAAGCTCTGCTTTCAGCACCAAGACTGAAAAGGGGGACTGGTATGCGGGTGATGGGATCACAAGACACTCCTGTCCTCCCTCCTGGGTCCCCTCTCAGCTTTGGAGAGGGGTAACTTATGCTTGGAGCTGAGGCTGAGCGCTGCCTCTGTCTGCCCTGCTCTGGGGTAGAAGGGCAGTACCCAGTCAATATCTACGAGTCTCTGCATGGTACGTGGCCCTGTGCTAGGAGCCGGGTTCAGCGAAAATCAGACAGAACTTCATGGAGCTGATGGTGTAGCTGGGAGGATAAATAAATGGACAGGTGAACCTGCAAGGAGTGCAGTGAGGGAAGGGCCGGGGTCTGGCTGGCACTGGGATGTGTCTCCTTCCAGGCAAGAAGGGAAATGTGGATGCGAACATCCAGGCATGCCGAGGCCTGCAGAGCTGCTATTTAAATGGAAAGGGTGTCAGGGCCTTTGGAAAGGAGAAAGGAAAAGAAGAAAAGGAAGGGATTCTGCTGTTACTGAGGGAGTGTGGCCCGTCCTTACCGACGATTCCTCTTTTCTCGTTCTCTACCTGTCTTGGTCCTTTCATTGCTTTTATCAGAACGTATGGTTTTTGTCAAACACACATACTTTTTTTTCTTTTTTTTTTCAAGCGGGGTCGCTGTTTCCATAACAGAAGTCCCAGTCTTCTTGTCACCGCTGTGACGGTCTCTGTCCAAACACCTGGGCGGTCCGGCTCGATCCCTCTTACCGACTGCGGGGCGGAGCTGAAGGGCCAGGGCCAGTTACGCTGGGCTCCCCAGGAGCCACGCCTTGGCCCAGGAGTGCATATTTCCTCCCTCATCCCAAGCCCTTCGGATCCAACCCTGCGAAGCAGATAATGGCCACCTGCGCGCTGACCAGGGCGACACTGGCCCTGGGATTCCAGGGGCTGGAAGAGTGCCTCGTAACCAGGAGCGGACCTGGGCCCTGGGTGGTCCAGCTCCAGATGTCGGTGAGGCCTCGGGCCTTCCCTGGTGCGAGCCCCCGGGGGAAACCCAGCCAGCACTCGGAGCAGCCCCACGCGGGCTCCATCTCCCGCGGACGCCCACGCCCCACGCCCGGCTCCCGCGGAGCCACGCGCAGCCCCGCCCCCCACACCCCTGCGGCCTGCAGCTTCGACCGCTGGGCCTCCCGGCGTCCGTGTGGGCATCCGGGTCACGGCTCACATGGACCAATGAGCGAAGGCATATGAGCCGGGGGCGGGGCGTAGCCGGGGCATCATGGCCGCCCCCAGCGCGCCGCTTCCGGGGGCTTGAGGGAACTGCGCTGACGGGCAGCTCGGCCACCGCGGACGCGTCCCGTGCACTCACCAGCCGAGAGTTGGTCTGGCCCGGGCAGGTCCGCAAGGCGGCGGCTGGAGAGGGAGCCATGGGGACGGTGCACGCCCGGGTAAGTGGCCCGCGCCCGAGGGGACCGGGCGGGCACCGCGAGGGGACGCTGCCGGGGCTGCCCGGGGTCCCCGGAGAGCGCGCGCCCAGGGCGGGGGCCGGGCGCGGGCAGGTCACCTCGGACAGCGGGTCCCGCGGACGTCGCAGCGGGAGGCCGACGCTGGGGGAGGGTCGTGATTTGCTCAAGGTCACTCAGCGGGACTCTGGCACTTGCCGCGGTGACCTCAGCGCCCCGCGCTCCGGGCCGTCGTGGCCACGGGGACAGCGCGTGAAGTCCGCGGGAAGGCGGCCCGCCCGCTCCGTCGCTGCCGTCAGCGGTTCTTGGTCCGCCGAGCAGAGGAGGTTGGCCTCAGAGACGGAAGGGCGGAGGGGGCGCAAATGGACGGAGGAGAGAACGTGGCCGGCGACTCCGAGTGACTCTGCTCACGAAGGCCAAAGCAGGGGAGGCTTCCCTCCCGAGCCAGTCACGGCCTTCCGTCCGTCCGGGGACCCCGTGGTGGTGTCCTCTGTTCGGCTGGTGCAGGAGCTCAGCCCAAGCCACTGGCCTCCCCGGTTTTAGTGGACAGTTACTTATCGGGTGCTTGGAGCATGATAACTGCTGGCCAAACTACTCTCCTTTTAAAATCTTAACCGAGGACCGAGGGCCCGATAATGAGTAATTTGTCCAAGGTCACGCGGAGCTGCAAAATGTCCCAAAACTCAAGACTTCTGGAGTCTGGGCCCGACACTAGTTTTCTGCTACAATATGGATTGTTTCATGCACCTAACTCAGAAGTTTTCAATGGTTCCCAGTTAACATCCAAAAGAATTTAGTATGGACGCTCAGCCTGGCTTCCAGAATTGGAGTTAACTCCCTTCACATGTTTTTCTCTCAAACCAAATAGCATTGCCTCTGTCATGTTCTTTGGACTGTGGTCCTCCATTTATTCCCCCTTCTGCCAATCACTTCCGAACCCAGCTTTACCTAGCAAACTATCTCCATCTTTAGACCTCAGTTCAAGCTGACTCTTTTCTCCCCCTCATTTGGCTGTACTACCACCTCCTTGCCTTTCCTTCTCGAGGGCCATTTGCTTTTGCCTTAGTTTAGCCCCATTTGCCTTTTGTCTTATTAGATTCTAGGAATAGGAACGGCAGCATATTTGGCTTGGGTCATAGCATCTTGAGCCGTGTAAGCCTTCATTCATTTATTCAACTAGTATTTACCAATGGCCTATTATGTCCTTGGCCAAAAACAAACTCGGCTTTTAAGGAGCTGTTTTGATGTGAAAATTGCTGCTCGGTTGATTAATTTATTGACAAAAAGTGTCTTCAGTTCTTTTAATTCAGTATTTTTCTTATATTTGAACAGGACTCAGAAAACATTTGGCATAGTATTTGCATGCTTATTGAAGCAAAAGCTTTGCAAAACAACAATTATCACTAATATCTGCTATGGTACAGGCTTTTCCATTTGATACTAGTCTGTGCCACTTTCAAGATGCTTCCTAAGTCATTGCATTTATTTTATATCCTTTCACCACTGCCTTGCCTAGTGTCTGGCATTTGGGGCTCATGAAAAAATGGGTTGGCTGATAGCTCGCTTGACTTAAAGGCTGGAGACCAGATCCCAACGTTTATTTAAATTCATTTTAGCAAACATTTATACTCCATGCCTTTTCTTCCAGACCCTGCAATGGAAATACTGTGAGGGTGAGGGTCTTAGAAGTGCCTGTCACATAGCAGGATCGTGAGAATCCTATTGATGAATGTATGGATCTCCATTAGTGAAACAGGTCATTGATTATTTGTGGTTCCTCCCCACCTTCAGAGTTTAGAGCCTCTTCCGTCAAATGGGCCTGATTTTGGAGCATTAGGTGAAGAAGCCGAATTTGTTGAAGTTGAACCTGAAGCTAAACAGGAAATATTGGAAAACAAAGACGTGAGTTTATAGTTAGATCTCAATGTGATTATTACTGGAGTGTTCACTTCCGTACACTGCTGGGGGGAGGTGGGCAGAGTTAACCTGCAACCTACTACAACAAGAAAGACTGCTGACTCCAGGAAAATAGTTGCCAGTTGTAGAAGAGTCGTTTTCTTTTGCTGTTGTTTATGTGGGCGGTCTAGGCAAACACGTTTTTGTGTTCTATTAAAGAAACCAAAAGTATTTAGAAGCTTGAGCCTGCCTTTCTGGCTCCTCCTAGAGAGGGTGGGAAGGGCCTTCTGGTCATGCCGTGTGAGGTCTGAACATGACCCACACAGTTTTTAAGTCGGGGTCCCAGTGCTCAGGAGTGTGCTGGGGAGGGCTGGGGCCTCGGGCCTGCCTGGGCCTGCCTGTGCCTACCTGTGCATAGGCTGAGGGGGTCCTGGGTCCTTGGGCTGAAGACACCAGATCTCTGCAGGAAGTCCAGACCTGGCAGAGGTTAAGCCTGAGTAGGAGGATCTTTGACAAGGTGTCAGAAATAAGATTAAAATCCAGGAGTAAGAAATGGGGGTTGCTGACCTTGAGGAACACCTTGAATTGGTTTCTGATGCTTGTCTTTAGCCTTGATGAGTAGTCACTTGTCTTCTGTCCTTGTCATGTTTAGGTGGTAGTTCAGCATGTTCACTTTGATGGCCTTGGAAGGACTAGGGATGACATCATCATGTGTGAAATTGGAGATGTTTTTAAGGCTAGAAACCTTATTGAGGTGAGTGGCATCTTTCCTTGGCATTCTTTTGGGTCCTGTCTGAGGAACTTGTGATTCCCTGGCACCTCACAGCTTGGAGCACCCCACCACAGCCCCCTCCTGAAAGCTGCCACCCACCCAGAGGGGCCTGGGTTCGGGTGCCCCCCACAACTCCCCATGTCTGCACATGTCCTACCTCCTCTCATTCTGGAGAAGGTATCTGTCTGTCTGTGGCCATCTGTCTGTGTTTCGTGACTTTCCCACCTGAGGAGCCTGTGGAATTGGAGCCACCCCTCCCAGCTCTGGGCTGAGTGCTCTGGTGCCAGCTGCGCATCCTGGCCAGCCATTCCCTGGGTCCTGGGAAGTTCTCTGTGGAGCCGTCTCTCTCCTGCACTGCATCCTCTTTCTGCTCACCTGTGGCTTCCTCCTGTGAGTCTGTGCGTGGGACCGCACTGAACAGGCCTGAGCAGAGGTCACCTGTCCTCGTGGTCTGATCCAGCTGGCTCCTTCCTGTCCCCTTCTTGTCAACTTTTGAGTGGCATTTGACACTGTGGAACATTTCCACTCCCAAAAATTGAAGTTTACATTTTTAACAGACTAAGGTAACACGATGTATAAACCCAGTTAAATTTAAAAGGTGTGAAGAATGGACAGCGCAGAGGCACTGGAGTGAACATGCCCTTCCCTGCCGCTCCCAGCTGGTTCTCAAAGGTGATGTGGCTGAGGCTCCCGTGTCCTCCCAGCCTGTGTGTGGATTAGACTAGCTCCATTCTCTAGTTTCCTGCACTGTCCTTGTCATCAGCAACTATGACCAGCTTGTGCCAGGCTGTGGGTGCCGTGGTGCCTCATTGAAGGGACTTGTATCCCCACTGATGGCCGTTTAGATGAGTGGTTCTGCTCTCGCGGCACCTGTGTTGAGCATCTCGTTCCTGTCTTGCAAGCGAGGATGCATCTGCAGGTTAGAGTTCTCAAAACCCGGTGCTGCCAGGTCCAAGGGCGCGTGCGCTGCCACTTAGCACCGCCACGAATGCCTGGCCATCCGCACTCCCGCAGCACAGGAGGGTGGGCGTCCGCCACTGAGTGTTGTCTCACCTAAGTTCTCGTCAGTCTGTTAGGTGAAAAATGCCTTGTCATCGTTCTGATTTGCTTTTTTTTTAATGAGGCGTGAGGTCACTTTGCCCTGCTGTTGGCCCGGTTTCTGCTGGGAGCTGCCTGCAGGTCTTCCTTCTCCGCGGGCTCTGGGGCTGTGTTGGTTTAGGAGGGCCTTCCTGTATTACATGTCCCTGTCGCTTTGTGGCATGCACTTCCTGCTTCCCTCCTGAACACATCTCCCCCTTATCTCTGCTCTCTTCCCTGGGCGTCCCTTCCTGGGTGCCTGCCATCTTGTCATGGTCACTGTGAGGTCTCTGTCAGCCTCTTTCCCTGCCACTACCCTTCAGCCTGGTGTCACCTCTGAGCGCATCCACAGCCCTGTTTCCAGCCTGGTGTCACCTCTGAGTGCATCCACGGCCCTGGTTCCAGCAACATCCACAGCCCTGCACCGAGGTGGTCAGCTGAGCTCAGTCTGGCTGTGTACCAGCCTCCTGGACCCTGCCTGTGGCTGGCCACAGACATCCCGCTGCAGGGCACATCCGGAGTCATAGTCTTGCCAGCCCCACCCTGCTGCTCCTCGTCTCTGTGACTTCTCCTAGGGCGCTGATCTCTAGCCAGGTGCTAAGCCTGAGCTGGAAATCTCAGTTTCCTCCATTCAGTCAGTGCCCGTGGCCTCAGCCTCACCTGTGAGATGACTGCCCCCTGCCGACCTGCCCGCTGCCTGGGCTGGGTCAGTCCCGCCCAGCTCCCGGTCTGCTGCAGGGGCCTCCTGCTGCCCCGTTGCCGCCATCCTCCTGCTCGCAGGACTCCAGGCGCCCCGGCCCAGCTCCTCTTGCAGGACCCTGATCCCCCTGCAGGGGAGAGCCACATCTGCCTGTCACACAATCCTGTCCTGGCTGCCCCTTGCTTGTCCTCCAGTCAGCATGGCCCCTGACATGGGGGGGACTGCTGTTGACAGCGAGGAGAAGAGGCATTGGGCAGTGGCTAGAGACGGTTTCCACCTGAAACCCCCAGACAGGCCTGCACACACATGGGCAACAGATGTTCCTGTCACCAGGCGTCCCCACAGTGCACACTCGCATGCCGTCCCCTCTGGGAAGACTCGTGAGGCCTGTGCTGCCTGTGGGCCTCCATTCTCCCACCCGAGGCTTTCTCCTGTGTGAGCCATGCCCCCGTCGTGGCCTGCGCTTTTTAACTTATTTTTCATTTATTTTCGGCACAGTTAGGGATTGCACTTAGGGCCTGTGTGTGTGTCCCCTGGAGCCATGTCCCCCACTTGGCTGGCACTGTGAACAGGGTTTGTCCCCATAGCGCTGCTTCCCTTCTTCGTGTCTGGCCTTGGTGATTCTCTGCTCTCGCTGCCCAGGGGTAGTGCAGCCTGCTCTGGGGCCACATGTGTTCCTGTACCTGCTGTTTTCCCTCTCACAGGTGATGAGGAAGTCTCACGAAGCCCGCGAGAAGTTGCTTCGTCTGGGGATCTTTAGACAAGTGGACGTCTTGATCGACACCTGTCAAGGTGCGCACTGTGGGTGTGTCTTTGTGAGTCCCTTCCATCCATCCTCCAGGGTCAAGGGGCAGCTGTGTGGCTGTGTACAGGGCGGTCTGAAGGCTTCTGAGCTAGGTCTTGGGCATCTGCAGCCTAGGGAAGAAGCTGTTTTTTGTGTCTAGGCTGGGAGGAGTAGTGAGCTCAGAGGACATTGTTGTCTTAGCCCTGGCTGCTCAGGCTCTGGGGAGGGTGCTGGAGGCGGGAGCCAGGCCCCTCTCGACACGGGCAGCTCAGAGCTGCTGAAGGAGCTCTCGGTGGAGCCCCGCTGAGAGGGTGCTCTGAACAGGGGGAGTCTGGTCTGTGCTTTGGCTTTGCTCATCTCTGGCGTGCTCTGAGGCCGTGGACAGATCTCAGCTGAGTCAGTATTAACTCTTGTACCAGGAGCTCTGCTGTGAACCAGGCCCGTGAAGGTGTGGGGGTGGCGGGCTGGGGTTCCTTACGCCTGTAATTCCAGCAGCCTGAGGCAGGAGGATCCCTAGTTCAAGCCCAGCCTGGGCAACCTCGAGGGAACCTGTCTCAGAGTAAAAATAGAGGGATAGAGCACTTAGCATAAGTGAGGCCTTGGGCCTGATCCCTGGTACCACAACACACACACACACACACACACACAGAGCGTGCACGTGTAGATGCATACCCGTCCCAGGTGCTGGGCTCTGCACTCTCCTCACATGTCACTGGCCAGGGCTGAGTCCCACGTGCCCATATGTGAGGGGGCAGGGAGGTGAAAGGTGAGGCTTCGCTGTGATTGCAACAGTGGCTCTCTGCGTGGCCCAGACCAGCAGTGGCGCTGTCACCTGGGAGCTCCGTGGAAATGCAGGTGGATGGCGGCAGAAGCTGCGCGGGGGCCGGGGGCTGCTTTCTGTGACGTGTTGCACTGAGGCCTGGTAAAGTTGGGGAGCCCTGGACCAGTCAGGGCAAAGAGAGCTCCACGCACCTGGGTGTTGCCAGAGGGTGGTGCCCAGAAGACCCTGCGGCAGGTGTTCTCATGCTCCATCCAGTTCAGGGGTCAAGAGCCTGTGAGGTGTCGTGCTGCTGCTGTTGTAAGCACTTGAGCTGGTGAAGCCAGGGCTCTGAGCAGCTCAGGTGGCTTGCCCAGGTCCACCAGGCAAGTCATGGAACTCCGGCACCCAAGGCCTGGGCCCACCTGGAGGTGCTCTTCTCGGTGGCAGGGACTTTGGCCTTTGGTTGTGGCTCTCACCCCTCCCTGGTCTGGGCCTGGCCTTGTGCCTGGCTGTGGCCCTCCTGTTGTCGGTTCTGGCCCTGGCTGCATACTGGGGTCACTTGGTAATTGAGAATGGCTTAGGGCAGCAGAACCACTATGTGTGATACTGTGCAGACATGTCCTTGTCCCTTTGTCCAGACCCATGGTGTCCAACACCAGGGGTGACCCTAGACTGGCTTGATAATGACAATGACTGGTTGTCGGTGGTGGCAGATGCACCATGTGAACGTGATGGAGAAGTGTAAGGGACAGGGCAGGGCGCGTGGGAAGCTGTGCTTTCTAACACCCAACAGTGCTCTAAAAATAAAGTCTGTTAACAAAAACCAAAATGACCACAAGGCTCCACCCTGGACCTGCTGACCTCTGGGCATCTGGATGTCTCCATGGCAGCCAGGTGTCCAGGAGAGTGAACACGTGCTCTGTGCAGAGCAGGAGAGGACACGCCCCCCCTCTGCACATGCCACCGGTTCTTGGTGGGCCAGGAGGTGTTTGCCCAGAGGTTACGGGCAGCTCATACCCTGTTGGATGGAGGACAGAACTACCCCTGTCGTTTAATAATCTGATAAACAATATCTTGTTTCTTTTTGTGTATACTAAAAGTCCTTATTGTTACGTGAATTGTTGTTGTCACATGTTTTAATGTCATTTGAATTGGGACTCCATATTTGATTTTCAAGGACCTCCCTGATAGGGGAACATATTTTGTTACAAATATGGTTGGTTGAGCAGGTAGAACTACTTACAGTGATGCCTCCTCGCAGCAGACGTTGCTATTTGGGGTGCCCTGCCACGGATGGCTTTTTGGCGTGGGGTGTCCTGGCTCTGGGTGGGCTTACTGCAGGTGGGCGGCATGTTTTCCGGAGGAGATTATTTATAAATGAGCCACGGATCCCGGTTTGTTCAGCAGTAAGACCCAAAATGAAAGCACAGCTTCCAACTGTCTCTTGCTTAATGTCTTGGCTTCCTTAGGTGATGATGCGCTGCCCAATGGGTTAGACGTCACCTTTGAAGTGACTGAGCTGAGGAGGTTGACGGGCAGCTACAACACCATGGTGGGGAACAACGAGGGCAGCATGGTACGTGGGCCACGCGCCCCTTTCCCTTCTCGCCCTGGGATTTTGAGGTAGGAGCTTTTTACCTGTGGCCGCCTCTGGCAGCTGATGGCAGCTTCCCACCCACTTCTCGTGTCTTGTACCTCAGTCTGTTTATCCCTAGCTTGGCTTCAACCTCCTGGTCCATGAGATGGTGTTCTGAGTGGCTGGGTGACAGTGTTACCGCCAGTGATTAGGAATGCTGTGGAGAGGGTTCAGATTCCGAGTTCCTAGTTCAGCATCAAGGCTCTAGATCTGTAGCGTTTGTGTCCTTGAGTTGCGCAGTGGGCGGGTCCGCTTGTGCCTCACAAGGCGTGCCCAGCAGGGCTGTGTCGTGAAGCGTGCGGTGACCACCAGTGCAGGCCCTGTGCGGCAGACTCTGGTTGTGTTCTCGGGACCGTCCTGCAGCCGTCTTGGTCTTTGGGAACAGTGACATTCTTGCTGCTTTTTTTTCTTTTCCTTCTAGGTGCTCGGCCTCAAACTCCCTAATCTCCTAGGACGAGCAGAAAAAGTGACTTTTCAGTTTTCTTATGGAACAAAGGAAACTTCCTACGGCCTGTCCTTCTTCAAACCACAGCCTGGAAACTTTGAGAGAAAGTAGGAAGCCAACCTGTTCCCTGACTGCGGTGGCCTGGTGTGAGATTAGAGTAGAGGGCTGTGTATGCGGAGCAGCTGACAAGTTCAGCTCCTGCTTCTGCAGTGGAGTTGCTGGGGACAGCCGCAGGGTAGCCAAGCCTGTTGAGTGAGATGTGCGCCGCAGGCCGCTGGCTCGGCAGCTAAAGCTCTATCCCATTGCCTCCTAGTTTCTCTGTAAACTTATATAAAGTTACCGGGCAGTTCCCGTGGAGCTCACTTCGGGAGACAGACAGAGGAGTGTCCACAGAGTACAGTGTAAGTACCCCCAGGTGTCACGTGTATGTGTGCATTTGAAATGCGGTGCCAGCCATTTCCACTGATTGCCAAGGATAGCCAGAGCTGGGCAGGAGGGCATAGACTCCGCCCACCCAGCTGCTTCTTGGCTGGGCGCCTCTGCCCCAGCTGGTGCAGGCGGCCAGGGAACACAGGGTGGCCCTTGTCCACCTGATCAATTGCCTTCTGTGTGCCCTGCTGCCTGTGGCCCTGGTTGTCCTTTCCTGTGCTTGTTGGGAGCAGCGGTGTCTGATAGCAGAGTCACTGTGCTTCACTGCAAGGTTCTGTTACTGTTTCACACTTACAATGTGTCTAAAACGATGCTACTAGGCGACAGATGGAACTGGTGTCACGGCCCGTGTGTTGGCTTTAAGAGGAACTGCTCTTTCCCCTGCATCCTCCACTTCTCCTTGCGCGTCTCCTCCTTTCCAGGCCCTAGTTAGGGAGAAAAGCCTTGAGCACTAGCAGTTTTCCTAGAGTAGGTCTCTGCTCTGCACCCTCGTCCTCACCTGGGGGCTCCTTGGAAACGCACACTCCCAGGCCCCCGGGAACTGCCCTACCGGAATCTCTGGGAATGGGCCAGGAAGTTTTTGGCTTGGACTCTCCAAAACTGCTGAAACTGGGGAGGCAGACATCATGGGCTTGACTTCCTCTGTCCCTGATGGTGGTTTGTCCTTGAACAGAGTTTCTGTCTATGACGAGTATCAGGGTAGTGCAGTCCCTCAGTGCTGCTGTGAGGGTCACAGGGCCAGCAGGTGCAGCTCCTAATAGCGTGACAGTAGCGGGCCCTGAGGTGCTGGGCGCCGCGCCTCTAAGTGTAGCAGGCGGAGGTCATGCAAGCCCAGAGTCGCAGCTTGCAGCAGGTGCGCGCAGGTGCAGGGTGTAGACGGCGCCCGAGAGCATCGTGCTGCTGCTCCCTCTTCTGGTGTGGAAAGGAGCAGCGCTCAGGATCCTGCTCTGATGCAGTCCCGGCGTGCCCTAATGTGGGCTCTCATGGGGACGCCCTGGGGCATATGCTCTTCTCTGCAGCCCTGGTCCCCCATCAGGTCACCTGAGGGAGCCAGCAGCGGTTAGGTACCTGGAGCTTCCTCATCTTCTCCTGGCCTCCCTCCTTCAACTCTTTCCTGAGCCTTGTTGGAGAACCGATGCTAGGAAAGCCAGGGCGCTGTTCTGAGTAGGAGGAGGCCTGAGGCTGGAGCTGGTGGCTCTGAAGTCAGAGTAGCTGAGCTCCTGGAGGGAAGGACTGGGTCATGCCCACTGTGGTGTCCTTGGGCCACATGGAGTGGGGCTTGCTGCTGGCCCCGTGAGCTCTGACAGTGCATGAGGGGCATCAAGTGGGTCTCTGAGTGACAGTGTCTTTCTTCTCAAGAGCTCTCTTACGAGGAACAAGGGGGCGATTTAGGTAGCTCCCACAGGCATCTGGGAAGGCACCCGTCCCAGGGCCCCAGGGGCTGCTCCTCCCGTCAGCCCCTGACTCCCTAGTCTGCACGGTGCCTCGTGGGTGCCCCACCCCTGCAAGCTGGAGGGGTGTTCTGGGCTTGCGCTGTTGTGCCCCACCCTGGGTGCCCTTGGGTTCTCCTGCAGGGAAGGGCTTCAGGGAATGCCCTCTGGGAAGCTTGGGTTACATGGCTTCCTTGCAAGAGTTATGTCACCATCAAACTTCCCAAAGCCACCGGGCAACATTGGTCACTGTTCAGAGAGCTGGGCATTTCTGACACAGATATCTGGGACGGCATTCTTCCATGGCTTTGGGGACGGTGTCGGGCTGAGAGGCAGGTGTCCTTTGCCTGGAGCCCAGGGTTCACGGGCTTCAGGCCTCTGGCTGCAGGAAGGATGCTCTCAGCTCGTTCTGACTTGGTCTCCTGTTCCTCTGTGGGTTGATACTGGATGCGTGGTCACCAGGGTTGGGTGGGTCAAGTGGGGTACATGTCACGTACCTGTGTTGTTCCCTCTGCAAAGAGTTGGGGAAACTGCTGCACCTGCCGATTCAAAGACTAGACCGCGGCCCTGTCCCGCACCTGGTCCTTCCGTTCAGATCCGAGCTCCGCGCCCGCCTCCTCTTTTCCCTTTCTCCCTCCTTCCCTTTGAAGTTGATTTTTAGTGACTTGTAGATGCCCCATTGCAGAAGTTGGTTTGCACCACTTTCCTGTGTGCGAGCCGCGTAGAAGGACGAGTCCTCTCCCCTGTGTTGCAGTTTCCCATATGGAAGACCAGCCACACTGTCAAGTGGGAGGGCGTGTGGCGGGAGCTCGGCTGCCTCTCCAGGACGGCGTCTTTCGCGGTGCGGAAAGAAAGTGGGCATTCGCTGAAGTCGTCCCTTTCAGTAAGGACTTTTCTCTTGGAGTGTGTGATGTGTTGACAGCTGTACCTTGAGAATCAGTGTTGGGGCCCACAGAGAAGTGCTGCGGAGGTCTGGAGGCTGAGAGGTGGGTCTTGGCTTCCTTTGAGCTGGAGATCCCCTCCTCCTGTTGTTTCTCCATAAGTGGAGAAGGTGTGACTAAGAGCTAGGTGTGGCCACGGCCACGCCTGTAACCCTAGCAACTTGAGGGGCTGAGGCAGGAGGATGGGAGTTCAAAGCCAGCCTGGGATACTTAGCAAGGCCCTGAACAACTTGGTGAGACCCTATCTCAGATTAAAAATACAAAGGACTGGGGATGTGGCTCATTACTAAAGCACCCCTAGGTTCAAACACCAATACAAAAAAATTAAAATAAGCTGGTTCCAGTGGTGCATGCCTGCAATCCCAGCGACTTAGGAGGTTGAGGCAGGAGGACCACAAGTTCAAAGCCAGCCTCAGCAACTTAGTGAGGTCCTAAGCAACTTAGTGTGACCCTGTCTCAAAAATTTTTTTAAAAGGTGAGGAGGCTCTGGGGATGTGGCTCAGTAATTGTAATACTGGTACCCAATCCCTGGTACCAATAATTAAATGAATAAAAACAGCTTACTATGGATTATTTATTTATTTATTTATTTATTTATTTATTTTGGTACTAGGGATTGATTCCAGGGTGCTCTACCACTTAGCTACCAGCCCTTTTTAGTTTTTTTTTTTTTAAAAATTAGTTGTTAATGGACCTTTACTTTATTTATTTGTATGTGTATGTGGTGCTGAGAATCGAACCCAGTGCTTCACTCATGCTAGGCAAGTTCTCTACCACCGAGCCACAACCCCAGCCCCAGCCCTTTTTAGTTTTTATGTTGAGAAAGCCTCTTACTGAGGTGGTAAGGTTGATCTTGAACTTGCGGTCCTCCTGTCTCAGTTTCCCGCTTCACTGGGATTACAGGTGTGTGCCACACGCCTGGCTGGAATGTTAGCTTTTAGAAAGAATGAGAAAGCTGGCTGAGTTCACTTGGCCAGGGCTCTGGACTCCTTGAGAGAGTGGGGCGACCACGTGGGTTGGAGACTCCACAGGAAGCAGAGGAGCTTCCGTGTTACTGTGACTCAGTTGAGCTCAGTGTGCTGCTGGGCTCCCTGGTGTGGAGGCCGGTGGCCCTGCTGCCCCGTCCTGGGGCCCTGGGAGGGTGGGCGGGTCAGCAGTGCAGGGCTCGGCTCCGCCAGTGCAGGTCAGCGCTCTGGGCTCCTTGCTCCTGGAGAACAGATCGAGGCGAAAGTGCCCTGGTGCAAATTTCTTCCAGCACGCCATGGTCATCGACTCTCGGAATTCCTCCATCTTGCCCAGAAGAGGCGCCCTGCTGAAGGTGAACCAGGTAGTGTCCTTTCGTTGTGGCCTCTCAGGGCTGGCACCCGTGGGAAGTGGGTCACAGTGGTCATTCTGATATCCAGCTTCTGCTTTTATGGTGCACTTGAGTCTAACGGCTGAAGTGTGGGGCTGTGGTGGGGCTCGGTGCCACCAGCACTGCAGAAACAAAATGGCCTGCAGGGTGACAGCCCTGCCCACAGGGCCCTGGCCCCGGTGCTGCTCTCTCCACAGTCCATTCCTCTGTCTTCACAGCAGCCAGGGTGGGGACAGGGCCACGGGGACTTTGATGTGCTACATGATAGGCCAGAGGGGAAGAAAAGCCGGGGCAGGGCTCCGTCCTGCGTTAGAGGCCTCCAGGCTGGGCCGGCAGCGGCTGCAGGCCTGGGGGTTGTGCAGGGCGGGAGGCTGGAGGACGCGGAGGACAGCTGCAGACAGAGTCTCAGGTACAGTGGTCCCACTGCAAAGGTGCAGGCGTTCCCCAGTGCGTTCCCTGGCGCTGGGCCACCTCAGGCCCTGTTCTCTGCCAGCTCTGCAGCGTGTGCTGGACAGTGCGTCTGCCTCCCACGTGTTCAGTGTCGTGTCACCCTGTGCAGCCATGAGGACACAGCTTCCAGGAGACAGTCTTCTTTTGCCTTCTAAAAAGTACAAACAGCAGTTAGGTTCTCGCAGAGTCCTGTCCTGGGGGCCTCTGCGTGAGCCTGCGGGTTCTCCCCACAGGAACTGGCTGGCTATACTGGCGGGGACGTGAGCTTCCTCAAAGAAGACTTCGAGCTTCAGTTGAATAAGCAGCTCGTGTTGGATTCGGTGAGTGTCCAGCTAGGACGCGGCCACCTGGGTTGTTCCTGCGGTTTGGAATCCTGGCAGATCTCAGTCCCTGCGTCACTAAGCACGTGGGAGGAGACCTGGAGCCTGGTCTTTTGCACTTAGCCAGCATCACGGGCACCTGAGGAGCAATGACAGCCACTTCCTTAGAAAACAGTCTACTCATTTTGATCTAGAGGACTTTGAGAGAGCCTGTCCTTGTCATCTCAGGCCGCAGAGGCAGTGGGACCTGACATGGAAGTGTCTCCTTTCCCTTACAAGGTCACTTCCATGAAAATGCTCTACTGTGTTTTCCGGGTCACAGGGTTCTGGGTGCTTCCAGAATCTTTTTTTCTTTTCTCTTTATTCCAGTTTGGTAGTTTACCCTGATTGCTCAGGAAGTGAGGAGTCTGAATGTTTTTTTTTTTTTTTTGGGGGGGGGGTGCTGGGATTGAACCCAGGGCCTTGGGCATGCGGGGCAGGCACTACCCACTGAGCTACATCCCCAGCCCGAGGAGTCTGTATTCTGATGCAGCCAGTGGAGCCCCAGGTCTGCAGCGCGGGCTGATCTGTGGCGTCCACCCCCTGCCCTAAGCCTCTCCTGCCCTAAGCCTCCATGGCCAGGGTGAGCTCACGAAATGGCCAAGCCGCTGCCTCCAGGTGGTCTGTGACCTCCTGCTACTGCTACTGTTCAGGTCCAGTGCGTTTCCCCTGCTGTGGCCATCCTGGCTAAGTGCCACAGAGGCCGCTGCTCATCTCTGTGGCCCAGTTCACCGAGCTCTTTGCTGCTGTCCTTGACTTCATTATTGTGGTTTTCTTTTCTACCCTTCATCTTCTTTTGGGTGGCTCTGCCTCATGGGTGTGCTGTCCCCTGGGTTCCATGGCTCTTCCCCCTCTGCCCAGTCTCCTAGGGCCTCCTGGGCTACCTCACGTGTGCCCAGAACATTTGACACTAGCTGCCACCGGGCAGAGTCATGGAACACAAAGCCTGATTTGCGCTGAGGTGTGGCGTAGGTCAGGTGATTTGCTGATAGCAGGTGGAAGGGGTTGTACACACACCCCCGCCTTCGCACCACTGCATTCCCTGCGGCCTGCTCTGCCCACACTGCCCAGTCCTCATCTCTAGGTCTTTCCACTGAAGCTTCTGAAAAAGAAATACCTGTACAACTTTGAAGGACTTAAGAATTGGCAGGGCAGAGAGGACAGGAGATGAGCGGGTGTGTGGGGCCCGAGGGTGTGGCATGGAGGAGCAGAGCCCAGTGGGTCTGATGGGGGATTGTGTGCTGTGAGGACTGGGTCTCTGAGCGAAGGCAGGTGACTGCCTCCTGACCTGTGAGCTCTGGGGCTCTGTCCTTGAGGGCGGCTTGGAGGGGTGCATCTCTCTGCCTTGTGACTATGGGAATATCATAGCCTGGACTTGCTGCTACGTTCTGGGTGCTCACAGGGTTCTGGGTGATCCTCCTGCATTTCCAGGCCAGGACAAAGGCCTGCCAGGTGCCAGGTTGCTTGTCCAGGGTGCTGGTCTCCCTCACCTGTGAGGCCAGGGCTTGTCCTGCCAGGCCTTGCTTCTCATCCTAGAGTAGGGGGTGGTCAGTGGAAGGAGCCGCTGGGCTTCAGTGTGGCTTTATTTGCCATTCGAGATTGTCTTAAATGAGTTCTGCAACCCCGCAGCTTGGCAGTCTCCCTCTGCCACCCTGGAACCTGAGGGCAGAGCCCTTGTGCCACAATTGGGGTGGGGCCCGCCTGCCGTCTGCTGATGCCTGCGGGATGAAGGAGACACTGGGGATGTAACTGTCTGTGTTGCCACAGGTGTTCTCAGCCTCTCTCTGGGGTGGAATGTTGGTGCCTGTTGGTGAGAAGCCATCGAGCATTGCCGACAGGTAAGTATCGGGGAGGGGAGTTTGCGGGAGTTTCCCTTGGGTCTTTTGCTTGGTTTCTTGGGGGTTTTTATTTGCCTGCTTGTTTTGTTGAGATGGGGTCTATCTAAGGTGGGAGGCAACTCCTGATCCTCCTGCTGAGCCTCCCAAGTTGCTGGAGTTATAGTCTGTGCCATGGTGCCCAACTGGTTGATTTCTGACAAGATATTTTAGAAGAGTTTTATCATTAGAAGAGCAAAATTCCAAATTCTACTTTGCTTTTCTTACTTAAGCTAATTTTGAAATACACACTATACCTGGTACTTTTTTTTTTTTTTTTTCCCGCTTTGTGTTATTCATTGTATCAAAATTTTTGCAATGTTCCTTTTAATTGTGAAAGAATATGGTTCAGGCTTGTTGCAGAAATATAACATTCAAGGGAGTAAGAATCTCAGGCCTACTCAGAGGGAGTGGAATCGACCTTGGGGACTGATTCCTTTTGTCTGCTTTGTTGTGTGTGTGCATGCATGACGTATATCAAGTTGCTAATATACTGTATTTTACATAAATTTTGTGTCAGTGCTTTTCAAAAAATTTTGAGGAAATTATAGGGTCGTTCTTCACTAGGTCACGAAGAGTGTCTTCATTAGCTGCATTTTAATGGCAAACAGTGTTTTGTTATTCAGATATACTGTAACATTGTAGTCTGCGTTATATCATTGGCTATTTCAGTTGTTTCTAATTTTGTGATTTTTCTGGAAAACACTGTGACAAGTAACTTTGTAAACAAGTTGTTCATCTTACTTTCTGAGAAGAGCTTCCTGGAGGTGGGCCTGAAGGCGGACCTGCAGGCGTGTTAAGAATATTGCCAGGTTCTGCCATTTAGAGAGCAGTGGGCAGTTTCCACCTCTGCCGGCAGGGCCTGAGATTGTTCTTAATGCTTAGAAATTGTCATTGGGGGCATGGAACGGTCTTCCACCTGTATTAGTTAATATGTGCTTTAATGTACGGTGGCTCAGCCTTTTTGGATGGTAATTTGGGAGCATAGAAATCCTAAATTTATAAACTCTGGGACCTAACAGTCTCCACATCATGGATCTAGTTTTAAAAAACATAAGAAGGGCTGGGGACGTGGCTCAGTGGCAGGACACCGAGCCCTGAGGCCCTGGGTCTCATCCCCACCACTGCCAAAAACCAAAAAAACTTTGGTAAGTGTGCAGAGGTTTATGTGCAAAGATGGTCACCCCAGCATTGCTGTAGCCAGACGGTCACAGCCGCCTCAGGGAGGCCGCAGCAGGGCAGTGGCGGGAGGCCAGCACGGCCACCTAAGGGAAGGCGGCTGGTTACTAAAATCGGGAGGTAGACGTCCCCGATTTTAAATTGGGGTATGTTGAGCTGGTCCCCTTCTGAGTAGGGTGGAACTCCAGGGTGCACAGGTGGTGACGGGTGTAGTGCCCAGGGCCTGGGAGTCGGCCCCAACCTGGACAGTGGCCACCTGGAGATGGGGATGCCATGGGCAGGGGCACGGGGCTTTCACGTGTGCTCTGCGCTCCCTGGATCGCCTGAGTGCTTTCAGAAGAGGGGGTGTGGGGCGCCCGTGGGCCCGCCGCTTGTTTCTGGGATTGATGTTTGTGGGTCTCAGAGGAGGTTTGCTTGGGGCAGTAGCTGCAGTGGCCCTGTCAGGAGGAATACCTGCCGCTGCTCTTATCTGGAGTCGCTTTTAGTTGTTACCATGATCTAAAGTTAGGTTTTGAAAGGTTTGGTCTTAGAGAATGGATAGGATTTCTGAGAAACTTTTTATTTTCAGTTGTAGTTGGACACAATACCTTTATTTTATTTATTTATTTTTATGTGGTGCTGAGAATCGAACCCAGTGTCCCCTGCCTTGGAACTTCCTGGGCTCCCACATGCTAGGCAAGCACTTTGCCACTGAGCCACAACCCCAGCCCCTGGGTAATTTTTAATTCATCATTTACTTTTATTCAGATTTTATAAGAAAGAAGATTATCCAGTCAATTTGAAACACAGACGGAATTAACTTAAAAATTATAAGCCCTTTTTTCTAATTAAAAGTCATTGTAGAAAATGTGAAGAGCACAGTCTGTTTCCTTTCAGTGCTGTTTCTGAGATACGGGGCTGGACTCTCCTGCTTTTTACCTTCCTGCTCCACTGCGAGGGCATCACTTGGGTGGAGAGGACCTGGGGCCAGCGCCCTGTGGCTCTCCCCCAAGGCCCTGGGTGTCTCCTGCGCATCTCCAGCAGCTGTTGAGGCTTCAGCCTGGGGCGGGAGGTTAGAGTTGTTGGAGTTCCTGGGTCTTGTGAGTGCCTTCTCCAGCTCTGGGTGTGGTGCTGGCTTGGAGCATCCCCAACCAGACGCCTGCTCCGCGCTTTCAGCCCATCTTGGTTTCGCCTCTGACACGTGCTGTCTCGCTCGCCCTAGGTTCTACCTCGGAGGACCCACCAGTGTCCGTGGATTCAGCATGCACAGCATCGGGCCCCAGAGCGAAGGTCTGTCTTGCCCCAGAGCAGTGCACCGTTGAGGAAGCAGTCACCGCTTGTCCTTGAAGGCACCCGGTGTGCGTGTGCGTGTGCTCACGTGTGAGAGTCAGACAGTGATGGGTGTCCTGCTCCTCAACGGTACAGTTAGTGCCTGACCCAGAGTTCGCCAGGCAGCAGGCGTGGAGAGTGGAGTGGATTACAGACGGATGGGAAAATGTGTCGAGCAAAAAGCATCGGGAAGTGGCCCGCGTTTCACACCTGGCGAGAACCTGAGCGCTTGTTGGTGTATCTTTTTAGGTTCAGATCTGTGTGTCTTTGTATTGTGCTTTTTGTTTTGTTCACACACTGATTTTTAACTTGTCTTGCTCACACCCCACATAATAAATAACACAACAGTATTTTTTATGGGAATAAATACAATTTTTAAAAATTTTGAGACAGGCCTCGCTAAGTTGTTGAGGCTGGCCTTGAACTTGTGAACCTTCTGCCTCAAATTTCACAGTAGCTGGGTTTACAGGTGTGGCCACTGCGCTGAGTTACTTTATCATTTTTAGTGAATGTCTATTTCAACTTTTTTTAATATTTATTTTTTATTTTTAGATGGGCACAATATCTTTATATTTTTATGTGGTGCTGAGAATCAAACCCAGTGCTTCATGCATGCTAGGCAAGCGCTCTGCAGCTCAGCCCCAGCCCCGATTTCATTTTATTAACGTACTATAATTGTTTTTAACTAGGAGAATTTATTCTTTGTTTCCTGGGCTGTTGGGTTTGGAACCCAGGCTTTATTTTTCAGTCTTAAGACAGAAAAATGGAGCTGAAAGAGCAGAGGGCCCCTCCGTGACAGCACTTTGTATCTGGTCATTTGTTACAGTCCAGGAACAGTGTTGGCGTGACCAGCACAGTGCCCGGTCAGGGTCACTGTTGGCAAGGCACATTCTTTGGTTTTGATAAATGCAAACTGTCCAGTGCCCAGCTCTCTGGTGTCAGAGTGTCCCTGCCCTGGAACTCCCTGGGCTCCCTGCACCCCGTCTCCCCACGAGCCCAGGCCTCTGCAGTGCTGGGCTGCAGTCGGGCATCACCATGAGTCGTTAGGACTTGGCATCCCCCCAATGAACTTTCTGCCCCATTGTGAAATGTTCTGCTGACCTTAGTTTTACAACGCCTGCTCCACCTTCACCCATCACAAGCACTGACTGCGCAAGAGAGATTTTTTTAAAGGGTAGAGTGTCTCTTTTTGCTTGTTTTTAGAGGGCTTTATTAGAGTGTCATTTTTAGAACAGTTGGAAGATTCATTTTATTCTTTTTCTAAGCAAGTGTGACCTGCTGATTCTGGGGAAGTTTAGTGGGCTCCACTTGGCATTGAAAGTAACGCACAAGCTCTTCCACTGCCGCGTGAGGGATTGCAGGATTCTGGGGCGAGGGTGTCAGCACCTTGGTGTTTCTCTAAAGCACTTTGATGTATCATGAGCCTTAAAGTTTTTATTTTTGGAGACTATCAGTGATATCCCCAAACTGGAAACTAGATAGCCAGATGCCCATCAGCACTGGGATAGGCAGTCGGTGATGCCTTCACAGCAAGATGCGGGGAACGGATTGCAGCCACCAGCCAAGGGATGGTGTGCGGACCCCAGGAACCTGCAGAAAGCAGGCAGACTACACCTATGGGTGCTCCACGTAGGCCAAGCCTGCTGGTAGAGGAGCTGCGTTGGTGTGGGTGGTGGGTGCCATCAGAAGGGAGAAGGTCTTTAATGAAAGCCCGAAGTGTCCACTGTGAAGGAATTAGAACCCCATCTGACGCTAGGAGAGAAATGAAAGTTTTGGTCCATTTATGTTGTAATTCAGGCATAAAAGCCGTATCTTCAAAGAACATCAAGCATTAGGAGAAAGAACATTAAACTGGGGAACAAACTACACTAAGAACTGTGTGTGTGTGTGTGTGTGTGTGTGTGTGTGTGTGTGTATGGGTTATGTAAAGCTACATTTAATCACACGCTATTATTTGCTGGAGGAAAGAACAATAGGCTACTAGCTGGTTGTATGTATGGGATGAGAAGATCTCCATTTTTCCTACTCTTCTATGGTCATGAGATTTTCTACAGAGTGTATTTCTTTTCTCTTTTCCTTTCCCTTTTCCTGTGATGCTGCGGGAGCCGGGCCTGTGCACAAGGCCAATGCTCTGCTGCAGCTGCACCCAGCCCCGGGGTTGCTTCTCATCAGGAAAAGCTTCCTGAGAACAGCGGGAGGCAGCTCGTGGGAGGGAGGGGTGGCTGCTGCCGCCTGAGTCCTGTTTCCCTTCTGGTTTCAGTGCTGAAAGGGCCAGAGTGATGCAGGGCTCTTCAGCGAGTAAGCAGTGCTGTCCTTGGGTTGACCTTTTCATGGTCCCTCATTTGAGGGACTAAGATACTTTAAGTGGTGTTTTGTAACAAGTATACAGGGCTGGGGTTGTGGCTCAGCGGTAAAGTGCTCACCTAGCACGTGTGAGGCCCTGGGTTCGATCCTTAGCACCACATGAAAAAAATAAAATAAAAGGTATTGTGTCCAACTACAACTAAAAAATAATTTTTTAAAAAAAGAGCATAGACAACAAGGTCGGAGGGATTTTGATGGCTTTAATGTTAAATGTAATGGGTAGGAGCATTTTTTAGAAATAAGGAAAAAGTTGAGTAGTCAGGTTTAGGGAAAAGTAACCTTCGTCCAAAAAAAAATGAAAGTGCAGGCAATCTGAACCGCTGATTAGCAGCCTGTCCTCTGGGGCGGGCTCCGTGCCTTTGGACAGACTCTGCAGCTGTTTCCAGAAACGGCAGGAAGGTTGGCGAGCAGTGTTTGGATTGCCGGGAGGAGGTGTGTGTGCAGTGAGGTCCCCAGGCCCTCTCTGGTCCCTTACATTCACAGATGGTGAACATGACTCAGTGCTTTCCTTCTTGAACTCTACTGCTCCCCCTCCCCCCAGTTAAATCAAATTGTAAAACCAGGAGAAAAGAGGCCTCAGCAGGAGTGGGGGCCAGTGGCCAGGAACCCGAGTGTGAACGGCACCGGCCCGTGACGTGGCAGGGCAGTGTTGGGTTGTCAGCTGCTCCTGTTCTGCCCTTCGCAGGGGACTACCTGGGAGGAGAGGCCTACTGGGCTGGTGGCCTGCACCTGTACACCCCGTTGCCCTTCCGGCCAGGCCAGGGCGGCTTCGGAGAACTTTTCAGAACCCACTTCTTCCTGAACGCGGGAAACCTCTGCAACCTCAACTATGGTAAGGGACCGCAGTTTCGGTGTTCAAGACCCCAGCACACAAATAGGTGGCTGTCTTTTTAGATTATATGGTATTTAAGTTTAGGAACCCAGCTTTTCTTAGTAAAAATCCAACTACACCTAATACAGTGCCCAGAAAAAAGTTGTTGATCAAATGAACAAATCATTCGAGAAATACAGTCATCCTGTCTAACAAAGGAATAAGCTCTGTTCTCGATTATTCAACACACACGTCCGGAGCATGGGTGAGCACAGACGTCAGGGCCCCAGAGCTGCACAGGGACCGTCCTGTTCCTGGGGAGTACAGTCCAGGACAGGCTCACAGCAGACACATATGTCCAGGGGACCTACCTGGAAAGCCCTGTGGAGACGTGGCTCTCAGCCGGGGCCTGGAGTAGGGCTTCCTGGGTGGCCAGGGGCTGGGGCTGGGAAGCTGAGTGAGAAGCCTGGCTTCTGGGTCTGAGGGCAGCTGTGGCCCAGGCTCTCACGGCTGGCTTTGAAATGACCACAGGGCAGAGGAGGAGGATAGCGAGCAGCAAGACTTGTCTGTGGACAGTTCTGACATGACCCCTTACAGGCTGTTGTCACACATCCTCTCTCTTTCAGGGGACGGTCCCAGAGCCCACATTCGCCAGCTGGCGGAGCGCATCCGCTGGTCGTACGGAGCGGGCCTCGTCCTCAGGCTCGGCAACATCGCTCGCCTAGAGCTCAACTACTGCATCCCCATGGGAGTGCAGCGGGGTGACAGGTGCGTGCAGGGCGCCCACGGCCGTGTGCCTCTCTGGGGTCCGTATTTTTGGGTGTGGTTAATCATATCAGTATCTTTTGAGAGCAAAGATTTTTGGAGAAATCAAATACTTAGCCAAAGAATAAAAGAAGTCACGGATTTTCCTCCCGTTGGTCTCCTCCAGTCTGGAGGTGCTCAGCCCCACTTAGGTGCTCAGTGCCTGTTGGCCCAGGGCCGTGGGAGCCCCTCCTCTGGCCGGGCATTGCTGGTTGTGCTGCTGAACACAAGGTGGCCTTGCTGGTCTGGCTTCGCAGGCGGGGCTTGAGGCCTCTGGAGGAGGACAGTCCTGGGGCCTTCTTCTGGTCCAGGGACCTGCCATCTGGCCTTTCTCTGGTGCTTCTTTTCTGTAGGAAAGATTGCCAAGTAGTTATCCCTTGGTTTCTGCCGTAAATTGGTTCCAGGGCCCCGTGGAGACAAACCCCACATGTGCCAGGCCTGTGTGCACTGTGCGGTGTTAGGGCAGCGTGTGCACATGCCCTCGGGGCCCCAGCCCTCCCGGGTGATGTAGCACCCAGTCCAGTGCTCGTAGGGAGTTCAGCATAGGACTCGGCCGTGGGAAATTCATGTTCTGCTTTCTAAGAACTTTTTTTCATGTCATTCGGCTGAGGATGGCAGGGTCTGTGGATGCAGCGTCCACTGACGTAGAGGCGGTTACGTGGACGGATGTGCTCGAAGGTCATGCGCAGTTGTGGAGGTCAGGTCCACGTCTGGCATTACTGGAGTTTCAGGAAATGCAGAGTTATTGGCACAGTGGTGTGCATTGGGCGGCTCAGGCTGCCACTGCCACACCGTAGGCAGGGTGGCTTCGACAGCAGACATGTCACGGCTGCAGAGCCGAGGTCCAAGATCGGGTGCTGGCAGAGTGGGTTCCTGGCGAGGGCTCTCTTCTTGGCTTGCAGAGGGCTGCCTTCCCATCACGTCCTCATCAGGAGGGAGCGAGCCAGAGCGCTGGTGTCATGAATGGGCTTGAGGCCCACCAGGGGACCCTCCTCCAATCACGGTCACACTGTGGGCCAGGACCTCAGTATAGGACCTGGGGACACGTGCTCTGTCAGCGTCTGGGCGTGTTCCTGTTATTTTGGGTGTGGCCGTGCAGTGCTCTGGCTTCATTTTTTTTTTTCTCTTCATTTTGGTCTTGCTTATGCTGCCCTTGAGCGGCGGTGTCATCTCAGTGCCACCGCCTGACGCAGGGACATGCGGCACTGTTTACTCCTGTGCTGTTCCTGCAGGGTCGTGGGGATGGTGCTGTGGGGACCTCCCACTAGCAGCTCTTCCCCAGCCTTGATGCTCGGGCGCAGTTGAGCACCTGCCACCCACATTCCTGATAGTTCCTACTGCGTGGGAGAGGGCGAGCACCTCCCCTCGCTGGAGGGCTGGCTCGGCCTCTGCGCTGTGTCCGGGGTGCTGCCAGCACCTGCAGACTGCCTTGGCTGCTCCATGGACCCCCAGTCTCTCTGCTCCCCACCTCCCTGTTCCAGCACAAGCTAAAGCTGCAAAGGGTTTAATCGCATAGGCTGTGCCCGTGTGTGCTCTGCAACTGGGCCGGGCTCCTTGGTATGGCTGTGTGACCTGAGGTGAGTGACTTAACCTCTCTGTCTCTCCTGGAGAGTGGACAGTAACGATTGTAGACCCTTGTAGAGTGCGTGCGTGCAGAGGACCCTGGACTGAGGCTGTGGCTGGAGAAGGTGGTGGTTCTTCCTGTGGCTGCTGCTGCTGCTGCTGCTGCTGCTGGTGTGCTCACCACGCCAGGTCTTCCCTGTGTCCTTAAGGAGGTGCTTCCCCTTCCTCCCATGTCACCCCGGGTTCCGCTGCCTGCTGTTTGTGACGTGCCACTCGGTGCAGAGTGAGGGAAGGGCTGGAGCCTGGCGGAGCCCCGGCAGCGGTGAGCAGGTTCCCCATGCCTGTCCACGCTGCTTTCCAGAGACTGTTCCCACTGCAGATGGGGACCTCAGCCCCCCTGCACTAGCAGCCCCTGTGTGTGACACTCTGCAGGTGGTGCTGGAAGTGCTGTGACAGGGCACTGGAGTCAAGAGGCTGGAGTGTGGCCAGCACACACGGCCCGGTTCCTTCCCTGGTGCTGCAAAGGCCATCAGAATAGGGTTATGGGGGAGCGCATTTCAGGTGATGTGCCCTGGCACCGCCTGGAGGTCCCCCAGGAGCCTGGGGACAGCAGGGTCTGGGAGCTCCGGCAGCCACCACCCTGCAGTACCGACGGAGGCCACTGGGTGTCAGCGTGCCCCAGCCGCCGTGGCTCTGGGAGCACACCATCCGCCCTGCTGGGCTTGGCCTCCGGCCCTGCAGCCCTCAGTCCCCTTGCCCTGGAGTGACCTGAGAAAGACGTTTCAGAGACTGATTCCAAATGTGGGCTCCCAGGAGACGGCAGCGCCGGTATCCATAGGCCAGTGCAGGGGAGCCTTGACCCGGGTGGGTGGTGGCTGTTGCCACACGGTGGTGGCGGCTGTGTCTGTCATGGGCCGCGAGTGCCGTCCAGCATTCTTGAATGTGCAGTCACCTTCCCCACTGTCCCCTCTGTGGCTCAGGGTGAAGTTGTCCATCCGAATTGGAATGCTGTGAGGTTGGGCAGGTGCTGCCCGCGGGAGGTCATTCTAAACCTGGGCAGCTGGCAGATGGGAACAGTGTGCGTGGTGGCCTGCGGGTACCCGTAGTTTCCAGAGCTGCCTGGGGCACTGCAGACTCTGGGTGACTTCGGAGCACAGTCTCTGGAGCTGAGTGACACACAGGTGCCCACTTGGGAGAGCGATCATGGCTAGCCGTGGGGAGACCATCTCAGGGTGTGTGGAGGGGCAGGCAGTAAGAGGCCCTGTGCAGTGGGAGCTTATCCGGACCTTCCTGAGGGACAGTGGGCCAGGGAGGGCTCTGGCTGGAGAGCAGGGCCAAGATGTGCCAGTGTGTGGCGTGGCTGGACATGGGCACTTGTGCAGTAAGGGCCGGGGCCACACCAAGGAGCCTGAGCTTGATGTCCCTCTGCCTCCTAGCCACGTGGCGTGTCCCTGGGGGACACAAGGTCTCCAAGTCTGGACCTCAACTTCGTTTCCATTGCTGAATTTCTGGAGCCTAGAGCAGCGCCTGGGGTTTGAGTGGCAGCCATTGAAGATGCCCTGGCACATGGCGGGACTTGGACACAAGCCACCAGTGGTTGGAGCAGGCGGGCACCTTCAGTGTGACTTTGCCGAGGCCGGAGTGCTGGTGCTGTGTGCGGGGCGGAGGCAGGAGAGGCCGTGGGGGCTGCACAGGACAGTGGTGGTGGCAGTGGGGAGAGGTAGAGGCGGCCACACCTGGCCCTGGAGCAGGAGGAGCAGGCTCAGGAGGCCATCCTGAGGGTGCCGCAGCTGGGCATGGCCTGGTGTGACCTTCAGGTGTTTTTTTGGTGACTGGGTGGTCTGTGCACTGCCCCTGCGCAGTGGTCTGTGGCTGGAGTGAGCCCGTGCTGGACGCCGCTCTCTCCCGGGTTAGGAGGCCAGGCTTGGCTCGTGCCCGCTAGTTGTGTGCGACTCTCTTTGCAGTGGCCTTGGCGACGGCTGCATCTACACTGGTGGCGTGGAGCCCGGTGCAGCTCTGGGGCCCGCACGCGGCCAGGCGGTCCAGGGCCGCTCAGGTTTCGGCTGTGCTCTTTGCCTTTCCGGCCCGTGGGTGGGGTTGGCTGTTGCTCACTCAAGGACTTCTGGGTAGTGGCTGCTGCTGGTGGTGGGCAGCACCCTCGCCCTGTCAGGAGGGTGGTGCTCCTAATGCCAGCAGCGCAAGCATCACCTGCAGAGTGCCAGCTTGTGGCCGGCGTGACAGACATGGCACATGATGTGACCCTTTGCATCCGTCCCATCCTGGGTTGGAGCAGGTCCAGGAGGAGGCCCAGCTCCACCTGTGAGGCTGTGACCCTAGGACCTGGTCTTGTGGTCTGGGCCTTTCCTGGGTCCTGTGCCCTGTCTCCCCTCCCACCCCACCTCACCCTGTTCTTACCCCTGGGGAAGGTCGGAAGGCAAGGAGGGAACGGTGGAGGGTTCCTGTCCTCTTCCCCTTCGTCCTCCAGAGGCTGATTCTGGATCTGGCCAGGGAGGAAGCAGGGCCTGGCGGGGTTGGGGGAGGGGGGCCTGGCTGGCGGGCAGGGAGGAGGCCTGTGGAAAGCAGGGTGCCCGGGTGCTGCTGAGAGCCACGCCTAGGGTCAGGCCTAGCAGGGCTGCTGCGATGACCGCTTCCTCTTTTGCAGGATATGTGACGGTGTGCAGTTTGGAGCTGGGATACGGTTCCTGTAGCTGGCGCACCCTCCAGAGTACCTTGGGGACACAGGCCACTGGAGTCACCCGTGCCACACGCCTTCTCAGGGGGACAGTCAAGGGTCTTGGGCCACGGCTCTGCTGGAAAACCATGCCAATAAATTTTAAAGACAAACAGCTGCATGGTGACTCTGGTTTGTTTTCACCACCTCGTGACCTGCGCCGCCCCTTCCTAAGGATGCCCTGTGTCCTTCCACCTGGGTCCCCTAGACCTGGGCTCCCCCACCTCTGTCCTCCTCCGCCCAGGGCCACTATTGGACCCTGCGTATAGATGCATCAGCAGAGCTAGAGAGCGGGGAGGACCCTTGGCCCCGGGGGACGTCCAGCACTCCATGAGAGAGAGCGTGCAGCTAGGTGAGGCCAGAGGCGGCCACGTTAGTGGGTATGTGGTGCATAGTGCTGGCGGGTGACATGGGAGACAGTCATACTGCCTGACGTTGGGGCCGTGAGGTGGAGGGAGGATGTGCTGTCTGTAGACAGAGGGCAGCAGCCTGGGTATCGAGTTGTTTCCTGTGGCTGCTCCCGTGGGTCTTCACACACCTATGGTCAACAACACAGCGCCTCGTCCTGCAGGGAGGTCAGGGCCCGAGGGCTCCCCTGGGCTCAGGTCAAGGCCGCAGCAGCCTCCCACCTCCCACACACTCGGGACCCATTGTCTGGCCTCCTCCCGTTTCCAGGGCCTGCCCCTTCCTCGGCTGGTGGCCCTGCCTGCGCCCCCAGCCGGCAGCTCCCTGTCTCTGCCCCTCCTGCCTCTCTGCCCCCTTCCCTGGGCCCTTGTGATGCCTCTGGCCACTGGACAACTGGGTGATCTTGCTGAAGGTCAGCTGGTTAATGCCTTTGACTCTGCCACCGGGCTTCTCCCTGGCCACATCACACAACATGCTGTCTTTGTTCCTCATGTCCACTGGGGATTGGCTCCTGGGCTCCTCATGGACATCAGAGTCCCTTGTAACCCAGTGTAGTGTTTGCAAGGACCCGTGCATGTCCTTCATCCTTCATGTGCCCTGCCTCATCTCTGGGTGACCCAGAATGCCTAACCAGGCACACGCTCTGTCAACAGTTGTCACACAGAATTATTTAAGGAATGACGACGAGAAAAGAAAAGTCTCTACGTATTCAGGACAGATGCAACTTTTGCCCTGTTTCCCATCACAGTCGGTTGAACCGGTGCCCAGCCAGGAGGGCTGGCTGTCACGTGTTCCAAGGACCAGGACGCGGCAGCTTCTGGGGCGCTGTTCTGCTTAGCACAATTGGTGTCTCTCGAGGTAATGTTTGGGGGAAATCCCTGGTGATGTGGAGAAAGATGTGTGGTTTTGTGTTATAAGTCAGACCTCCTTCAAAGTCTCCAGTAAAGGGTGCAGGTGATGCCCTGCATAGTCCCCGTCACTTCTCTCCTCCCTGTGACCTCTTATTTATGCTTCTGCCAGGTGACCTAGGGATTTTAGAAGCAGCCTGAGCCTAGGGACCTGCATCATCTGTGGGCCAAGCTTGTGGACCCCTGATGGCCCGGGACTGCCCATCCTCACCTTGTGTATGACTGACAAGGGTCTTGACCAGAATAAAAACGTCACCTTTCTTTTGACAGTTGGGGGCGTGGGGCAGGCGGCCTTCTTCCACAAACAGCTTATTGTTTCATTTCACATTCACGCCTTTAGCGAAACGGGAAAGCCACGTGTCAAGAGCAGCAAGAGCTGCGCAGCACATACTGTGGACACTGACCTTTGAGGGTCCACCTCCCGTGTCAGTGGAGGACCAAGCAGCAGCCAGCCGTGAAGGCCTGGGTGTAGACAGGCAGGGACGGCGCCCTGGGGCTGAAACCGGCTTCTTAATTAAGCGCCTGGGCCCCTGCTGTCACCAGCAGGGCCACAGCATTCAACTTGCAGGCTGACTCCACAGGCCACGCCTTTAGGAGGTGAGGTGACAGCTAGGACCCTGGGTAGAGAGGTGTGTCCTCGTCATTCTCAGGTGGGATCAGGCGGCAGAGCGGAGCATCCAGCCAGGGGCAGCTCAGGAAGCGCATCCACCAAGAGACCAAAACCAGGCGAGTTCCTGGGGAAAGAGATGCTCTGCCGTTGCTTTAGGAGCTGGCAGAGAAGACAAATGACGGGTAGGAGAGTGTCCTCCTCTGCGTCTCCTCTAAAGACCTGAAAGTTCTGCACCGGATCAGAGTTTGACGTTGGTTCAGTTAACCTTTTGCCTACTCTGCTCAGGGCAGACCACGAGGCCAGCTGCAGGTTCTGATGGAGAAGGCTGCGTTTCTTGTTGGGGACCAGCTGGGTCAGCCCTTTTCCCCCGTCACCAGGAGACTGATTTTCACCCCCATCTTCATGACGCCTGGGAGCCAGGTGGTGTCCTCGACATCACCAGCTGGGGGTGTCCTGCAGTGGTGCCAGGCACCTCCCGTGTCCCACCTGCTGTCTGCAGCCCGCCATCCCACCTGGGGGCACACTGTTGTGCCCAGTGCTGTGGTTACCAGGACACAGGACAACTCCCTCGGCCACCACAAAGCTGGTAAGGTGCGGCCAACCCCCAGCGCTTCCCTCAGGACCCTCCCTCCGCGCCACTCTCCTCAGGCCAGCAGCTCCCCAGCCGAAGAACCCCAATTTCCAGTTTCTGTTTTTAAACACCAGATAAGCTTCCTTTGAGACAGGTGCCTGCCTCCAGATGCCACAGAGCACAGGGGAAGAGGCCCCCAGGGACGAGCGCCGCTGACTGTGTTAATGAGAGACGGTGGGGCCGCCTCACACTCGGACACCCAGCGAAACACGGCTCCGACAGACAAGGGCCCGGTTCCTACCGGGGTGGGCTGGACTGGGCGCGGGCGTTCCTGCTGCTGTGGCCGAGCTCCCAGGAGCTCCTGGCCTCACGGCCGCCGGTCAGCTTCCTGTTGCTCTAACAGATGGCTGAGGTGTCCGACCTGGGGAGAGCAGGCTTGCCTGGCTCACGGTTGGACAGGTTTCCACCCATGCTCCGTTGGCTGCATTGCTTTGGGCCCGTGGCAGCACCTCGGGGCTGGTGTGTGTGGCAGGCAGACCGCTCTCTCCCCTCGTGGCCAGGAAGCGGAGAGGAGGGGGAGGCTGGGGCTGCCGTGCCCTTGAGGGCACACTCCAGTGGCCTAAAGACCTCCTACTAGGCCTACCTTACAGCTCCCACCACCCCTCAGCAGTGCCATGGTAGGGCCCAAGCCTAAGGCCCCGTCTTCGGGGGACATACAAACCACAGTGTGGCCTTTGGCTCGTCCACCCAGACGGAGGGGAGGCCTCTGAGCACGTTCCTGGGGCCAGGTCGGATCCTGGCTCTTCCCCCAGAGGCAGTTGACCAGGTCCAGTCTCTTCAGCTCTGTGAGTCCACCCTCCAGGGGATACTACCCAGGGCCTTCTGGGGCTTGCTGGGGACATCCACCCAGGGAGGCAGCTGCAGGCACTCGTCTGTGGTCTGGACTGGACTCGGAGCCCAGCCTGTCACTCAGCAGCTGTGACTCGAGCGGGCGCTCTGTGCTCCATGGCCAGGCGGCAGAGAGGGCGCCGCTCTGCTCCTCGTTGTTCCCTGGCGTCCACAGCGTTCTGTGGTTCTGTTGGAGCCTCTGAGCACAGGTCAGTGGCAGGTGCTCCAGGGCGGGTCTGGGGTGCGGCGAGGCCTGGGCCCAGGTTGGCTCTCCCACGCCGTCAGCCCCACTCACAAAACATAAAGGTGGCCAGTGGCCCCCAGCGCTACCGCGCACGGGTGGCTCCTTAAAGCGCAGTTACAGCACCCAGATCTGGACCCCAGGGACAATGACAATGCGGACGTTTCTTTGTGTCCCTTTTTTTCCGCTGATTTCATCAGATGATGGTGAGTACCAGCGTTTCTCAAGCTCACAGCGCAGGACCCCATTAGCACTGTCCAGCATTATTGAAGTCCCCAAAGAGCTTCTGTCTATGGGTTGATGTTAGAAATTAAAACTGAGACATCTCAAAAATATTAAAATACTAATTCATTTAAAAATAACAGACTCTCACATACATAGTAATTGAAAGAGGAGGGTTTTTGTTGTTGTTGTTGGAACCAGGGATTGAACCCAGGGCCCTAAGCACTGAGCCACATTCCCAGCCCTTTTATTTTTTTAGTTGTAGTTGGACACAATACCTTTATTTTATTTATTTTCACATGGTGCTGAGGCTCAAACCCAGGGCTCGAACCCAGCGAGTGCTCTACCACTGAGCCACGGCCACGGCCCCGGCCCCGGCCCCGGCCCCACCCAGCCCTTTTTATATCTTGTTTAGAGACAGGGTCTCGCTAAGTTGCTGAGGGTGGCTTTGAACTCATGATCCTCTTGCCTCGTCCTCCCGAGCCACTGGGATCACAGGCGTGTGCCCCTGCACCTGGCAAGGAGGATGTCTTAATAGCCTTTGTAGAAAACTGAATATTCTTGGAGTTCATGAAACTCAGGCAGGGATACTATTCCCCCTCCTCTCTTCTTTAATCCCGTTTCCCCGAAGTGCCGGGTGGATCCCAGGGTCTCCACACGCCAGGCAAGTGCTTTCCACAGGGCCACCCCCGGCCTCCACAGTGACACTTTTTTAAAGTTAATTGCAAAGTGGCATCTGCAGCCCCACCCAGGACCTCTCCACGTCCACTCGTGTGAGCCTCGGGGCCATCTGGCACTGCCAGGAGCTGACACTCAGGCATGGCTTTGTGACATCACACCGTGGTCCTTTGGGAAGTACTGGTTCCCTGAATTATTCAAACCTCCCAAATGCTGACATATGTCACGATTATGCAAATACAAAGATCACGTTCATTAGTCTCGACACTGATTACATCAGAGTCGGTGGACACCGCCAGGCTCTCGGAGGTAGACACGAATTTCCTCAAATACCGATTTTTGCTGAAGGCTCTTTTCATCATGGGCATCAAATGCAGCGTGGCTTTCCTTGAAGTTCCCTTAACTTGTTCCTAAGGAAACATCTGCCAGATGCCCACGTCTGGATACCCGCGTGCCAGGAGCCCTTCCAGGCAAAAATGGGCTCTGCCTGGGAGCCCCAGGGCTTTCCTAGAGGCCAAGGGGCCTGGGGCACAGGGGTATGGAGGAGAGGGGTGCAGGGACTTGGTCCTCCCTACTGCTTCATTGTTACGTAATCTGGCTCTCTGTGTCACTTCGTGGGGTCGAGGCAGGTGGTGTCCAACAGTTGCTTGGGGCCTCTGGCTGCTGTGTGCTAGGGCACATGCTTCTGCGTCCCGAGGGGCTTGTCCACCCAGTGAGCTCTGGGGAGTGCTGGCCCAGCACGCCTCGCCCTGAGATCAGTCTGCACTACAAACAGTGCTGGCCTTATGAACCTCTTGGAAGAGGTCAGGGTCCCCGGGGTCTGCATGACTCTCTGGGACTCACTGATCTATCATTGTCCAAAGCAAATTCTCGGAGGCTTTGGGGTCCTCCCCATGTGGTCTCTGCTATTTGCGATAGTCATTCCGAGAGCACCGGTAACAGGTGGTGTGGACCTGAGTGAGGAGGACGCCCCTGGGCAGGGGGCGGAGCTGGGAAGTAGCCCTCCTTTCGTGGTCAGGTACAGATCGGGTTCTGTGAAAGGGGTAGCAGGAGGCCTGGCAGAGTGCCTGGCACCCGGGGGCTAGCTCAGAGCCGGAGTGCCTGGTCGGAGGGGGCAGGTGATGGGCAGGGAGACAATCCAGATAATGGCTGTAGTCTGAAGGAGAAAGGTTTGTAAACCCCTGAGAGACTGAAGAGCAGCATTAGACTTGGATTAAATGGCAAGGCGGTTTTCCCACTTACAGCGTAGATTTCTGATTGAGAAGGGAACCCGGGGTGGCCACCTCAAGGCTACTTTCCTGGGTCACACCAACCGACCGTGTTTCAGCCTGAGCAGCGCCTTGCCTGGGAACAAGCTGGCCGGTGATGTCACGGCACCTTGTCTCATGCCAGGGCTGTGGCCTTATTTGTGGCATTTCACTGACAAGTAAATGACTGGATTCCTCTGCCAAGTCATTAGGTAACTTTTAAGAACAAAGGATGCTCATGCCAAAGGAGATGCAGCATTATCTTCCTAGAAAAATAAATAGTAATCATTTTTGAAAAGAAAGTACATTCTATGAATTTGACCAACTGAGAAAATTACAGCCTCGCATCCCTGCCCCCTCCAAGCAATCAATCTTGTCAGATGGAGGAAGCCGTCCCTAGCTGATCACTACATGGATGTGCCGGTCAATTAAAACACTCCGCTTTCGTCTGGTTGAGATAATAGCAGGCCTGGAACCATCCGTCACTGGAAAATAGAAGGTGACCTCCTCATATTGAGTCAGAGACCCAAATACAATTGCTTCGATCTTATTATCATACCCAGAAATTACCGATCCTCCTAATGTAATTTCCCTGAAATACTAAGTGGGCTGAGCTGCGGCTGGACACATTAGAACATAATAAAGAGACGTTGCTGTGGCCTTGATGTTGGACTTGGGCGTGAAAATTGACACACTGCCCTACCAGGAGAAGCACTGAGGTCAAACAGGACAGCATCCCCCTGAAATGCTGCTGGGCTGCGTAAGGGTCAAGTGTGACTCACCACCAAGTTCAAACCAGCGAGATGAGCTGGGCCTTGTCGGGAGCCAGCTGCGCAGACCCCCAGGACTGGGCTCCCTGAGCCTGACCCTGGAGCCTCCGATGGCTTCCACGGCCCCAGACCAGGGCCTCAGAGTTTCCTGCTGTTGGAAAACAGCCCCCTCCCTGCTCTTCCGGGCTGGGAACAGGAAACCTTATCTTGGGGCGGGAGGAGCATGCGCCCAGGAGTCCCCTGCGGGTCCTTTGTTCATTCATTCTTTCCACAGCACTGGGCTGGGCACAGGGCCCCACGCAGCTGGCTCCCTCCTGATTCCAGAGGAAATTTGGCTCCTATTTAGCCCTAAAGACCCCTCAGTACCCTGTCTGCAGGTCCTTTCAGTGCACCCCCTCCCCCTAAGGTCCCTTCCCCACAGTCTCTCCAATGTCCGCCGTTTCTGTGGCTTCGTCTTCTCCCCTCCTGTGGGTCGGTGGTCCTCCCCTGCCCTCAGGGTCTGTGTGCCTAGGAAAGGGCCATCCCTGCATAGCTCTCCCAACAACATTCCAGCTGTGTGAGTGCCAAGGAGAAGAAGGTGACCCTAAAGAGCAGAGCAAGGACACCTAGTGGTGCTCGTGCCGGAGGCGCTTAGGGTCTCGGCATCCGGGACCCCCGGCAGCACTCTCTGGGGCTCCCCTCAGCTTCTGTCTTCCAGGCCAGGCCAGCACTGGCAAGGGGTCAGTGCTGGCCATGACTCCCAAGGGAAATGAGGAGCCATTGGTCCAAAACAGTCTGAAAATGGAGGCCTGGTTGGAAAGGGCTCCTCGGGCCTGCTGGGCTCCAGCATGTCCCCACTGTCCTTCTAATGAGCCTCAAAGACGCTGAAATCTTTATTTGTGAAATAAAAACGGGAAAGGAACGAGAGCTCTTTAAAAATCAATGAGGTGACTTCTCTAATCCACGTTTTTGGTGTGCTGTTAGAGTTGCTTTTGTTGTTGGTGGTTTTTTTTTTTTTTTTTTGCAGTGTTGGGGTGAAACCCGGGGCCTCTTGCTACGAGGTCAGTCTCTACCCCAGCCCAGGGGATGCGGGACTACAACGCGGGGACCCCCGCGCCCCACTCTCTTCTGTTAACACTCTATGTCCCTGGGAAGGGCTGGGCTGCGGCTGAGGTGGCAGAGCACCTGCCTGCAGGCCGGGTCCTGGCTCAGTCCCCTGTGCCACAGAACAGACTGTCCCTAGGCACGTGTGCAGGTCCAGTCACCACAGTTCAGGGGCCAGTTTCGGTGCACAGCCACTGACCAGAGCCCAGCTTCCGATTCCCTTAGTTGTCCTTTCCTGTCCCAGGATCCCCCGACACTCAGTCATCACATCTCCTGGGGCTCTGCTGGACTGCGGCTGCCTCTCTCTAGTTTCTATTCTTGATGGCACTGACCATTTTGAGGAATGCTGTCAGGGGCCTTGTAGATGTCCCTGTGTTCGGCTGGCATTCTGATAGGGTGGGGGCCCTGTTCTGTCCCCAGAAGCACAGGGAAATGCAGGGGGAGGAAGGAAGGGGGGAGGGAAAGCCTCCAGGGCACCATTGTGACCCAGTGTATATTGTCGAGTCCATTCACACCATTCCCCTCCCCCACCATCACCCTCCATCCTGCTCACTGGGGATCTGACTTCTCTAGGACCTCACATAAGCAGCATCAAACCACGTGGGTCCTTTGGGTGGGTCTTCAAGTGCATCCACGTTGTGACCCGGGTCAGGGCTGCATGGATGCCCACACCCCGTCATCCCTGGTCTGTCGGGGACGTTGTTCTGCCTTAGAGACAGGCGTCTGTGGCTCCTCAGACCCGCCTTAGACGGGGCCTGGAGTTACATTCTCCATATCACAGGGAACAATTCTGGTGCAGAGAAGGGTGTGTGTTTGTGGCTTGTCCTGGCTGACCTTGATGACACTTCCCAGCACGTTCTCCGTCACCGGAGGCCCATCTGCCGGGGTGTTGCTTGAAAAAAATTGAGCTCTGTATTTTAATAGCTCTTTATAATAAATATTTAAGCATCACTGATGTCTGAGCAGCCTTTCCAAGCTGTGCGTCTCACCGGTTTCCTGCAAATTTGGAGGTTGGCAGCCTTAGGACGATTCCCTATAGGGAGTCGAGCTGCCCGACTCGACTGTTGGTTCCTGATTTAAGAGCAGGATTTGCTGCCCCTCCCCCATCTATGTGGGTAATCAGAGGGGTGGCTCCGTGGGGAGCAGATTGTACCCTGAGTCGTGACCCTGCCCGGATGCAAATGCGCCAGTTGAATGGCTGATCACCTGTGCCTGTCTGAGCCATCATTTTCTCAATCAAGATGATTCTAATTGGTTTCGAAATCAGTCTTCTTGGCTCTACATAAACATCCACGTGTTGTTTTTTGGTACTGGCAGTGAAAAAGCAGAATCCAAGCCAGCCGTGTTCCCTGGACAGGGTATCTGAAGGCCAAGAGTGGCTTCCAGGAAGGGGTGTGTGTCCACGGGCACGGGGGAGGGACATGTGGCCGGGGAGGGTTTTCAGCTTCCTGGGAGCCGTGGAGCAGGTCTTGGCAGGTGGTTCCCAGGTGTCCCCAAGGCCCAGCGTCCCTGGCACACGGAGGCTGCTCTGGTGCGTGGTGAGTGAGGAGTGAGTGTGTAAGCTGTGGGTGGAGGCTCGGCTCGCCTCTGCTGCACACCTGTCCTGGGTGGATCCCTGCCGGTCAGCGCCACCTGCTCTCTGCCCAGGTGTCCTGCAGCGCCCCTCGGTGGTTTCCGTAATCAAAGGTGCATGCTTGGTGGCTCCTGTCCCCAGGTGTGGCAGGCAGGGCCCCTCGGGGCTCCCCCCCCCAATGCAGCTGTTCAGGAGCTTCCTGCGTAAGTTACAAGAGGAGGCCCAGCTGCCGCCCTGCGGTGGGGAGTTCCCGAGGGCCTTCAGTCCAGGGGCCACACTGCTGGGGAAGGACCCAGGCAAGTACTCTACCGTGAGTCACACCCCAGCACCCGCCTTTTTAAATTCAATTTTGAGACAGGGTCTCACCTAGTTGTGAGTTGCTGAGGTTTGCGACCTTCCTGCCTCAGCCTCCCGGGTCACTGGGGTGACCACCGCAGGCGTGGCCCCCGCACGGCTTCCCTTTCGTCTTTCACACACTGGGTTGGGTGGTACCGTCCTTTGCCTCACTATGGGGACCTTCAGGCATTAATGTGCCGTAAACGAAATCCGCAATCCGCTGTGTTCTCTGCTCCAGATCCACCACGCCTAGCTCCCTGTGGCCTGTGAGTGAAGAAGTGTTTGCATTCTTAATTTTGGGACCAAAAACATCCAGACTTTTCATGACAAATGGAACTGGGGTTCTGTGGTCATCAGTGAACTCTTCCTGGCACGCACCACGCCACCTGCTTCTGGGTATTGTCCACAGTCGCTTTCAGGCCCAGTGGCAAAGCTGTTGTTAGGACAGACTGACCCCTTGCAGGCCCCTGCCCTGGGCCACCATCCCTCCCAGGCCTCAGGGCCATCCTCATGGTGCACTTCAGGGGCCAGAGGTCTGGCTTCAGAATGGGGAGCAGCTCACTCCCTGCCAGGAAGGCCCACTTCTGTTCTTTCCCCAGAGCCTCTTCATTCTTTCCTTCCTCCGCAGTGTTGCTGTCAAATTGGGGGGTAGGGAGAAAAGCCTTGTGATTTGCAGGCAGCTGATACACACTTGGCAAATGAATGGTGGAAAATTCAGACTAAGGTGTGAGCGTCTGATAAGCCTGGCCCTTGTTCTCCCAGCCATGAGGCACTTACCGCTTCTCCCCTTCTCCAGCAGCTGGGGGTGTCATTGTTGAAGGGGGATCATTTAAGGGGCCCTACCAGTTCTACGCCATGGAATACTAGGGATCCATAATTTGCACCAGGCTGTTCATTCATTCCCCATCTATAAAATATTCAAGGACACAAAGTGCATATGTTTTGTAATTTGCCTCGAAGGCAGAAAGAAAGCCCCGAGGACCTACTGATCAATAAAAATTCGACTTCCCTGGTCCCATGGTTTGCTGATGTCTCTGAAGTCGTCTGAGGAGGAAAGGCTGGTGGCCGGCCTGTGAGGGTCTGGGTGGGTGTGGCCTCTCACCAGCTCACTAGGTCAGCAACTGTTAAGTGACACCGTGCACCGTGCACCGTGCTGGTTTAGATACTGTGATGAGAGAGGCTTGGGAACGCTTCCCCAAGTGCAGCCAGAGTGCCAGAGAGTGTCACCTGGGGAAACGGAGCACTTTCTCCACCAGCAAATCAGTTCCACTTTGTCCCTTCTCCCCACACTTCCAGCTCCGCTAAAATGGCCTGAGGCTTGGGAGTGAGCACCACCGGGGACATTTCAGGGGATGAAGGCTGAGTGTGCATGTGGGCTTGTGTGCATGTGTGTGCGTGCGTGCGCGCGCGTGTGTGTGTGTTGTGCGTGTGCGTGTCTTTTAAAGTCCTCAACCTCCTTTGTTGCATGAAAGGAGGTGAGAACAAGTTGGCAGCTTTTAAGGCTCTTTGTCAGCACAGAGCTGCTGGGGCACGTGGGGCACAGATGCAGACCGAGCTCAAACGCAGGTGAAGCGAGGTAGAGGGCTCGGCTGGGCTGGTGGCAGCTCGGTGGCAGAACGCTTGCCCGGCACGTGCCAGATGAGGCCTTGGGACCAATGGCCCTCCGGTGAGCCTGCCTGGGGGTGTTACTGACTGGCTGTCTTTCCCCAGAACTCGGTTGAGGTCTGATTCGCAGACGGCGAATGCTTGGATTTCAGCGAACTGTGTGTCAGCTTCTCCCTGCATCAGGATATGGAACCAGTTTGCTGGTGCCCACATCCTGGTAACACCCTCTGTCCCCAGGGTGGCCACTCTCAACCCAGAGCAGAGGTGGCCTGGTCTTGAGCCTTGTGTCTGCCTGGCTTCTCTCATTGGCCCTGATGCTCGTCACACATCGAGTTCGAGTCCCTCCCCGTACACAGCCACCACCTACCCAGGCCCTTCCCTCTTCCCTGGGCGCAGGCTGTGCCTTGCCCGTGCCCGACACCTTGCTGACAGGCAGGATCGGGGTGAAGGTTCTTGATGCCCACCTGCCATACGGCATTTCCTGTTTGAGTAGAGTTGCTCCCTTTGGGCACCAGGTCTAGAAAATGCCGTGGCACTGCCTCTTCCTTTACAGGGAAGATGGCAAGGGGGGAGACTGAGGTTGGTTGGGACCACACGGCAGGGTACATGTGGCACAGGGCTCATGAGGTGTTCGCTCCTGTCTTTAAGGACGTTTATGAGGAACCAGCCTCTTTGGAAGACACAGTTCAAAGCAAAGCAAGTCACGTGGTCTTCTTTAGTAGGGGCAGCTGTGTGTGATCTCATTTTCATATTTTTTTCTCCCAATGTCAACTGTATGTGGAGGACGGTGTGGGGTGTGCTCAACACACCCCAGGGGAAGACCGGGGTTGGTGGGGACAGAGTGAGGCGCACATTTCTGCATCTTATTATTTTTATTAAGACCCAGCACTTTCCAGCTGGGCGCTGTGGCACATACTTGTGGACCCAGCAACTTGGGAGGCTGAGGCAGGAGGATTGCACGTTCAAGGTCAGCCTTACAACTCTGTGAGACCTTGTTTCAAAATAAAAATAATAATTTTTAATAATAAAAAATAAAAACATCTGGGGATGTGGCTCAGTGGTTAAGCACCCCTGGGTTCAATCACCAAAGACCAGAGAAAACCACCACAAGTTCAGAGAGAGGCATGGGACAGATTCTTTCTCAGAGCCTCCAAAAAGGACTCAACGCTGCCGACACCATGATGTGTACTTCTAGGCTCCAAACCAGGGGTAAAAAAAGTTCTGTTCTAAACCACTCAGTTTGTGACACGTTGTTATGGCAGCCAGAGGATACTAATACTGGACAGTAAGCCCCCCACCCCCGGCATGTTCATGGTTTCATGATCCCCAGTTTCGGTTATCTTAAGTCAACTGTGGTCCAAAAACACTAAATGGAAAATTCCAGAAATAGACAATTTGTAAGTTTAAATTGTGTCTGGGATGAGATCTGGCACTGTCCTGCTCCTTCCTGGCAGAGCTGCGAATCATCTCTTTGTCCAGTGTATCCACGCTCTATATGCTACCTGCCTGTTGGCAACCATCTCAGCAGACTGTCATGTCGCATTGACCATCATGGTAACACAGTGCTGGTGTCCAGGTGGCCCTTATTTTACTTAATTGTGGCTCCTAAGCACAATAGTAGTGCTGCAAAGGGGGCACCCAGGACGGCAGATGAATTCTGGTCCTCTGTGGCAAAGCTGCAGAAAACAAGATAATATACAGAGGTGCATTCAGGCATGCAGAGGGGGTCTTGGAGGCTCCCCGAAGTTAAGGGGGCTGGCTGGCTGTTCTCTCTCCCCTTGGCCTGGTGGCCTTCTCTTCCTCTACTGAGTACAGGGAAAAGGTCACTTCATCCTGGTCCCAGACCAAATGTCCCTTCCCTAACAATCCTTCTATCTCCAAGCCCTGGATGTCCTGTACCAGCCCTCTCTTCCTCCTCCTGGGATCCGTGCCCACTGGCCCACTGGCCCCTGGCCACCGTTCCACCCTTGTCTCACACCATGGGCATGCTGGGCATCTGTGTTACTGTGGGTGGTACCATTTTCCTCCTCTACAGACTCCAGGAGGCCAGGATCTGCTCATTCCCAGGAGGGGGTTGGGGCCGGGTGAATGCTCACTGCATGGAATTGAAGGGGCAGACTGTGTGGCCAGGCCCTGAGCGGGCACAAAGGGAGACAGCAACCTCCACCCACAAACCCAGACGGTTTAGGTGGAGACAGCTTCGCCCCTGTCCTGCCCCTGATATCCCCTATCTCTGGGTGAGGGGCCTCCCGTCATCCTCTCGGCTGGGCAGGATGTGGCCTTACCTCCTCCTCCTCCCTCAGCTCTGCGCTGCTCCACCCATGAGCATCTCGGGGCAATTCCCTTCTCTCCTCCTCACCTGTGGCCTTGCATCGGTTCCCATGCCCATGGGCAGCCAGCCAGTCAGCTGTGCCCACCCAACGGGTGGAGATGTCACAGGTGGAATCTTTCCTGGCTCCTCTGGGGGTAGAGTCCCTTTTCCTGGGCCTCGGTGATGACTCCCTCTTCCCTCCTGGCGCCCCACACCAGGGTGGCCCAGGTTTCACCCTGGGGGAGCACCCCGGGCTCCCACCACACCTGTCCCCCCACCACACCTGTCCCAGCAACACAGGTTGACTAGGAGGTCACAGTGTGTGCCTGGCAGCCCTGGCCCGCCAAGTTCTTGACCGCAAAGGTCCCCCGCCACGCGCCCGGTTTCTGGAGGTTCCTTGGCCGAAATGACACGCGTGTGCAGCCGCGTGCTGCGCCTGGGCTTCCCGGCGGCTTCCAGGAGGCCGGCCGCACAAAGGGGCAGCACAAAGGGGCGGCTGTGCCGGGCGCGGGCGCTGGGTCCCGGGCCACCCTCCACCCCGCCACGCCAGCTGTGGCTCTTATCAGCTGGACTTGGTGACACCGTGCGGCGCGGGGCGGGGACGCCCGCCGGGGACAGCGCGGGCGGGGACGGCGGTGGCCGCGCCCTCCCGGCCCCTCCCGGCGAGCGAGCGGCGACCTGGCGGCTCGCACTGGGCCCATGTCCTCCGCGCCGCCGCGCCCGCCCGCCCCGCGCGCCCCCAGGATGAAGAAGGACGAGTCGTTCCTGGGCAAGCTGGGCGGCACGCTGGCGAGGAAGAAGAAGGCCAAGGAGGGTGAGTGCGCCGCAGGTCCCCAGGTCCCCAGGTCCCCAGACCCGCGCCCGCGCCTCCGCCCGGTTCGCTGCCCGCCGCGACCTCTGGGACAGGCCCTTCGTCGTCCTGAGACCTTTGAGGCCGCTGGGAGAGCCCCGTGGGTTCGGGCGGACTCAGCAAGCGTGGGTCCCCGCGTCCACCCTGGTCGAGCGGCCATGTGGTGCGACCAGCTTGCCCGTGAGCGCGCCTTGGACGCCTCCGTGCGCAGAGCCGGCGGACACCAGCTGGGGCCGCAGTGATTTTTTTGCGCGATGCCTGTGACCCGGTTGGAGCAGGCGGGAGAGGGGCGCGGGGCTCGCAGACCACAGGCCCTGAGGCCCCCCGATTTTATGCTGTGCACCCAAGAAAATAATTTGGAAAACTCCCTCCCGCCAACATTTTAAACTTTTTTAGAGTTGGGAGGACTATAACTTCTGGCGTCTGTCCTGTGCTTTGAGCGAACTGCCGCCCCAGGGCCTCTCCACAGCTGCATTCCTGAGTTTCCCATTGTTTGGGGCCTGAGATTCCTGCTTGGGGCATCGCCTTAGAGTGTGATTCCAGGTGGGTGGGAGGTGGGAGGTGCCTGCCCAGGACAGGAGGGGGCTGCTGCGGTAGGGCAGGGGGCCCAGGGCTGGCTTCTGGGAAGGAACCGTCCATGGGGGTGCAGAGCGACTTCCCTCAGCCACCCTAGCCTGACTTCTCCCCTGAAAGCTCTTCCCGGGCCTCCCTGGTAGTGGACCCCTTGGGATGCCTGTGGCCCCATTACTCTCTCCTGGAACACCCGTATTCCTAGTGATGTGCCCCGGGCATACAGGTGACATATTTACTCCCAGGGGAGGTGTGTCCCCCAAACATTCCTCCTCCCGGGGTTTGCTATACTTGTGTCCCATATTTAGCTCCAAAGCTCAGAGGTGGTGACGCAGAGGAGGCCCAGGGCATAAAATGCGCAGGTCAGCCCTGGTACTGGGTGGCCACGCTGCAGAGCACAGAGAAGGCACACCGCACACCACCGTCTGGTACCACCTTGCAGTCTGAGGTGTCCACTGAAGGTCCCTGTGACCCACCCCAGGGGGCATGTCCCCCATGCACTTTGCCCTCCCCCAAGCTTCTCACCAAGCCAGACTCTCCTAGTGTCCTGAGGGCAGCCCCTGTCACCTCCACTGGGTCTCCTGAGTGCTCCCAAGTAAGCTGCGGTGGCCACTCCCCCAGGCTGTGCACTGGAGGACCTAACCCTGCCTGTGTTCATCCCGGGGTCAAGTCTCCTATGAGTCTCTAAGTGGCAGCCGCCCTTCTCTGCCATCCCTTCCTCCTGTGATCGTCATGGTCCCCACCAGAAGTCATTTCAGTTCCCTTTTGTCCCTTTCAACAATTATGGCGTCCTCTCCAAATTCATTCCAGTCTGTTGTTGTTTTTGAAACAGGGTCTCTGGGGCCTCAGACTGTCCCGGAGTTCCCGGGCTCAGGCACCCTCCTGCCTCAGCCTCCTGAGTGGCCGGACTCGGGCGCGAGCACCCCAGCCTCCTGAGTGGCTGGACTCGGGCACGCGCCTGCCTGCGGGCTGCAGTCTCTGGGGCACCTGCTGTGTGGGGGTCCTGTCTGCATCCCTGGGGGTTAGGATGCCTACAGAGTGCCCCAGAGGCCTGTGAGGGGCTGATATTGGCTTGAGACCCCAAAGAACCAGATAAAGAAGACTTTCTCGAGGTAGCAAGGACGTGGAATTTTCTGGACGGCTGTGGTTTTCATAGGTGACTCATGTTCTTGTGATGTGAGGCACACAGGCCTGCAGTAGCGGACGGCCTCAGGTCCCCAGCATGAAGTGCTTCTCCCCTGGCTTTTATGAACCAATGTGTGCTGTGAGAGCCGGGGCAGTCCGGCTGCGTCTGGATGCCCCACGGATCCCAGAAGTCAGAGCGTCCAGTGATGACCAGAGCGGGCAGGAAGGCAGCAGTGGGGCCAGCTGCTGGGCCTGCCTCTGTTCTCCAGAGTGGGGTGCCTGGTGCCCGCTGCACACAGAGGGTCGCAAACCCTAATTGGTCTCAGAAGCATGTGCTGAGGAAGGATTGGATTTGGAAAGTCCTCCTGTCTTCCGTGTGGTCCTCTGGGAAGAGAAGGAGGGGAAGGCTGGGTGCACAGACTGAGTAATGAAGTTGAATAATAGAGAGTTGAGAGTTGCCAGTGCTTCTGCAGGCCCGTTGCCGGGGCAACGCGCCCTCCTGGCCCTGACTCTGGATGGTCAGAGTTTCTGCTCATTTGCCTACGGGGAGTAACCAGGGACGGACATTGGCCTGCCCGGCCACCAGCTGCACGGTCATCGCCACTTCCTTCTTTGTTAGAAAGAAGAGGCGGATTCAGGGGAGGATGTGACTCTGTTTCCTGAGTTGAGGACCCTGGAGGGGAGGGGGAGGTGTGGGGGGGATGGGATTGTGGGGGGGATGGGATGGCCCATGAAGTTCAAGGTCCAGGAGCCTGTGGGCATTTGACTCCACCCCAACTGGCAGGGTGGGATCTGTTGGGACAAAGGTCCTGCCCTGAGCAGGGAGGTGGCGCCGGGAGCTGGGCGTGCTGGGGCCGGTGCAGGAAGTGTCTGAGAGTGAACCCAGCGGTTCAGGCCAGGGTTCCCCACTGCAGTGGTCATGTGCCGCCAGGCTTAGAAAAGGGAACCGTGACTAGTTGTGGGCATTCGGAAAAAAGGAGGGGACGCTTCAAGTCCCCAGAGCTCCCCACAGATGCTCTGGGATCAGAGGCCAGTGCTCGGCAACCCAGCTCAGCTTCCGGGAGGTCAGAGGACCTGGTGCAGAGGGACAACCCCTAAACCCTCCTCACAAGGTCCTGTGACCTGGGGCCGAGGCCCACAGGTCCTGCCGGTCAGGGGCGGGGCCAGGCCCAGACAGTGGCTGTTTAAAAGTCCCCAGAGGCAGAAACCCGCTCTCTGTGGGGGGCCCTGGATGAGAAGGGCCCGGACAGTCAGCTCCAGCCACCTGCCCTGCAAGTCCCTTCTGCTTCCTGGAGGCCCCGGCCCAGGCCTGCGTCCCCGTGCCTGGACATCAGACACCCAGACTGATGACCTGGTCAGGGTTTTCCGGAGAGCTCAGAGTAGCAGGGCCAGAGGGCTGACCCGCAGGTTCTGGCCCTCCCTGGAGAAGAGCAGGGAGGAATTCCTCTTCCTAGTCCTTAACAGCCTACCCACGCGCAGATATAAACAGTGTGCAAGAAAATGTGGTCAGAAACTCAGTGGGCTGTGGTTTCAGAGCAGTCCTCGGTTGCAGCACCCTAAGTCGTGAGTGGACACTGAGGCGACCTCACATCAGAGCCCCAGGTTGTTTGGGTGACGGCCACGGGGTGCCTCGGCTGGGTCGTGTGGCCGGACCACACTTAGGTGCAGGAAGCTGCGGAGAGCCGCGGGGCTGCCTTGCCACACACTGTCCTCTCTGTCCTTCCCCAGCGGCGCCCTCTGTCCTGGTGGGCACCCGAGGTGGCAGCGCTGTGGGCCGTGGCCATCCTGCTTGGCGTGTGGAGGCCCCTGTTGTTTCTGTCTCTGTGTCCCCGTGATGTGGACATGGAGCCTCTTTGGTGTCCCCGGTCCATGGGCTCTGGAGAGGTGTCTTTTGCCGACTGGGGTTTGTTCTCCGATTATCGGTTGGGAGGGTGCTAAGTCCTTTACCAGGTGTGTGTTTTGCAGATATTTTCCCCCGGCCCCTGGCCTCTCTGCTCCGTTCTGATGCCTTTGAGTGTTGGAGGAGCAGCTGTTGCATCTCCTGCTCAGATCTAAAGCCATCCCGGGTCACCGCCTGGTTGGACTGAAGGGTGGAAGCACACCTGCGTTTTTCCCTGGAGGCTAAGTACCTTCCAGAGGAGAAGTCACAGCCCTGGGGTGCACACTGTGGGTGGACGCCCAGGACACCGCTGGGTGGCAGGCACACCTACCTGCAAGGTGGGAAGTTCTACCTCCCTGCAAGTTCCCTGCAGGAGAATCTCCCCTCCCCCAGTGTTAAGCTGAGGAAACACAAGCTTCCAGGGAGTTTAAGCTGGTGGTTCTCGGGTTCTCTCTGGGCCATGGTGTCCCCAGGGGCTTTGGCAGTGTCATCGGGCTCTGACTGTCACTGCTGAGCTGGTGCTTCTGGTGTCTGGTGGGACGGAGGCCAGGGGTGCTGGTACACATGCTGCAGCGTCCCCACCACCCAGCTGTCTGGCCCAAACGCAGGTCACCTGGCCCGGGTGCAGGAGCCCTGAGGTCTCCTGTCCAAGGTTTGAAGCCAGAGAAGGTTGAGTGGCCAGGGGTGGGCGGGGGGCCAGGGCCACTGGAGCCTCCCCGAGAGTCTGGACGAGCCACCAGAGCCCCACTGTGACCGCCCAGCCTGGGGGCTCAGCTCAGGTCCTGGAGAGGGAGGAGGACCCAGGTGGCCCACCAGGGGCCACAGTTACAGGGAGGCGTGTCACAGACACGGGAGCCACCTGGAGGGTATGGTCCTGGTGCCCGGGAGTTCCCAGATGTGGGAGGCGGCTGTGGCCTGGGCCCTCTCCCCGTCCCAAGCTGGAGAGCTGCGTGGGAGAGGAAACAGAACTTCTAGAATTCAGTGAGTTTTGTGAAAGCTAAAAGGAAATACGACCCGATCTTCCAGAACCACAGTGGGACCTGGATAGGAGGGGGAGGGAAGGCGACTCGTCCCCTGGCCTCAGGCCCCGGGGGACAGGTCCTCCTGGGGCTGGGGGTGGCAGGAAACAGGTAAAAGGGGATGTGGCTGGCTGGGGCTGTGGTGGGGCTAGGGCCCTGAGCCCAGGACGGTGCGGTCAGGACAGAGGGGCAGGTGGGGCCTGAGACCCATGGGGGACACAACCAGGCGTTGGGGCTTGGGGCTCCCACTGGAGGAGGTGGTCCTGTGGAGAGTAAGGGGTGCTGTGGGTAATGCAGAGGAGGGGTGCGCTGGAGGAGCCCCGGCAGGGCCCTCCTGGGAGGCTCAGTGGCACGGAGTGGGCTCTGGTACA